CGCAAAGACAGCTGCTCTTTTCTGTCTCATTTCATCCACTTATTGGTTAACTCGCCGGAAAGACAAGGAATGTTCAGGGGAGATTTCGGGTCCGCCAAAAGGTAAAAGCCGCGTCCAGGCCCGGGTCTAATTCAACTCTTGTGTAGTATTGATCCAGGGGAAAGCCGCCAGGGAGATCTCGGCAAAGGTAGAGAGAAAAACGAACAGAAAATATCCCAAGTTGATACCGGCTGCAACCTTTTTTTTCACTTAAGTCGCCCACCTGCAGGTCTGTGTGTGTGTGTGTCCGTTCAATTTTATACATATTGTCGACACGAAGAAATATTTCTAAAAAAATACAGCAGGACAATTACTGTAGTGTTGTGTTATGTAACTGTTTTGTATCTCTTTGTATAGGTTATAAATCTCCAACGCGCGGTCCGAGAATTCATTCCCTGAAGAAGTCCCCAGGTTGAGGACGAAACGTCGGGAAAACTTGCTAAGAAGTACAGATGATGGGTGAGAAACCTTCCTTTGCTTTGACTAATCCCTGTACGACTGAGGGCTTACACAAACTTAACTGTTTTGTAGTTGTCTCGAGGCCCGAGAGGTTTCGCACGCCCTTATCTCTGTGGTTTCGTTTTTTCTTGAATTATACCCATGTCTCTTGTTGGTACTGCCTGGAGGCGAATCTGTATTTATTTATCTATGAGGAAGTGAAAGCCTCAGTTATACACTCTTTAAGGTGGTCCATAAAACAGACATATGATGATAATAACAGTAAGAAAAACTGAAAACGGACATAAATGAGCAGACTTAGGTCCAATGTGGCTGTTGTGTGTAGACCGGGACAGCTGTATGGGTTTTAAAACACAAGAAGAATAGATATTGGATAAAATTGAACGGTTATAAAAAAGGTTGTACTTCTCTGGTCTCTCTCTTGCTGGTCTCTTTTTCTGGCCTCGCTCTTGTCTCTAAATTTGGCAAAATCAGAGGCAAGTATAAAGTACTGTGTGTTCTAGTGCAAACAAAGTGTAGGTATATGTTAGCATCTGTTGTCTCTCTCTGGTCTCTCTCTCTGGTCTCTCGCTCTCTTGTCTATCTCTCATCTCTATTGCTGGTCTCTTTCTCTGGTCTCTATCTCTGGTCTCTCTCTTCTCTCTCTCTCTGGTCCATCTCTTGTCTCCTTTTATCTTTTCTCTCTCTGGTCTCTCTCTTGTCTCTCCCTCTCTGTTCTCTCTCTCTCTCTCTGGTGTCTCTCTCTCTGGTCTCTCTCTCTCTGGTGTCTCTCTCTCTGATCTCTCTCTGGTGTCTCTCTGGTCTCTCTCTCTCTGGTGTCTCTCTCTGATCTCTCTCTTGTCTATCTCTGCTCTCTCTTACTTTGGTCTCTCTCTCTCCATGGTCTTTCTCTTGTCTATCTCTGCTCTCTCTTTCTCTCTCTCTCTCCATGGTCTCTCTCTTGCCTATCTCTGCTCTTTCTCTTTCTCTCCATGGTCTCTCTCTTGTCTATCTCCTCTCTCTCTCTCTCACTCTCTCCATGGTCTCTCTCTTGCCTATCTCTGCTCTTTCTCTCTCTCTCCATGGTCTCTCTCTTGTCTATCTCCTCTCTCTCTCTCTCACTCTCTCCATGGTCTCTCTCTTGCCTATCTCTGGTCTTTCCCTCTCTCTCCATGGTCTCTCTCTTGTCTATCTCTGCTCTTTCCCTCTCTCTCCATGGTCTCTCTCTTGTCTATCTCTGCTCTCTCTCTCTCTCTTCATGGTCTCTCTCTTGTCTATCTCTGCTCTCTCTCTCTCTCTCTCCATGGTACTGTATCTCTCTTGTCTATCTCTGCTCTCTCTCTCTCCATGGTCTCTCTTCTGGGAATAACAAATATAGTACGAACACCATGCTTTCATAAATGTAGATACAGCTGTGACTGTGATAACCTAACCCTCCCCCGTCTTATGATAATAATAATAATAATAATAATAATAATAGTAATAATAATAATAACAACAACAACAACAACAACAATAATAATAATAATAATAATAATAATAATAATAATAATAATAATAATAATAATAATAATAATAATAATAATAATATTAATAAAAACAACAATAATAATAATAACAATATTATTAATAATGATAATAATAATAATAATAATAATAGTCGTAGTAATAATAATAATAATAACAATAATAATGCTAATAATAATAATAATAATAATAATAATTATTATTATTATTATTATTATTAAGAAAGCCCCCGCTGAAAGATCAAGGCTGTGCTCACACTCAGAGAGCAGCCGTCCTCCTGTGGACTCACCACCTGCAGAGGGTCAGTGAGGGGCTGGTGCTATGAGACTTGGGTGGCATCTCTGACTGCCACCCCCCTGACCCAGAAATGGATTAAAGGGAAATGGATGGATAATAATAATATTAATTAAGTCCTACCCCTCATCCCTTTTAAGAGAGCTTCTGTAAGGCTTCTTGAGCAGGTCGCCAACACCATAATTCATTTGTATTTTTTTCTTCTTTTTACCACCTTGATTCACGGAGGCGCAGAGGGACATTGCACCACGGACACGGGCAGTGGCTCCGGGGCCCCTGAAAGCCTACCTGCCACTACACAAATATGGATTTCTGTCGAGAAGATAAATTGAAAACCAGTGAGTGGGTGGAGCAGGGAGAAGGAACCGAACTCCAGATACAGGCCTGGAGTCTGCAGAGAGCGAGAGAGCACTGGTCAGCACGGATTTATCACCAGTTTTGGGGAATAGATGGTTTCTTTGGACGGATTTTTTTGTTTTTTTCTCCAGTCTCTCTCTGGTCTGTCTCTGGTCTGTCTCTGGTCTGTCTCTGGTCTTTCTTCTGTGAATAAATATTTCAATAATCACCATTTTTTGCAATTATTTGGACAAATTTCGTTTCCAATTTGTTTGTTTTTCTCTGATATCTCAAGTCTCTCTCTGGTCTCTCTCTCTCTCTGTTCTATCTCTGTTCTCTACTGGTCTCACTCTAGTCTCTGTCTTTCTGCTCTCTTTCTCTGGTATTGTATATTTTCTCTTCTTTCTCTCTTTTCTGGTTCTCTCTTGTCTTTCTGTTCTCCTTCTAGTCTCTCTCGCTGGTCTCTGTCTTCTCTTTGGTCTCTCTCCAGTCTTTGTCTCTCTGCTCTCTTTCTCTGGTGTTTTTTCCGTGAATAAATTGTATAATACTCAAACATTTTTGGAATTATTTTGACTATTTTCTAGATGCATTTTCTTGTTTCTCTTTGATATTTCTGGTCTCTCTCTGGTCCCTCTCTCTCTGCTCTCTCTCTAGTCCCTCTTGATAGTGTCTCTCTCTGGTTCCTCTTGCTAGTGTCTCTCTCTGCTCTCTCTCTGGTTCCTCTTGCTAGTGTCTCTTTCTGCTCTCTCTCTAGTCCCTCTTGATAGGGTCTCTCTCTGGTCCCGCTTACTCATGTCTCTCTCTGCTCTTTCTGGTCCCTATCTCTCTGCTCTCTCTCTGGTCCCTCTTGCTAGTCTCTCTCTCTCTACTCTCTCTCTGCTCTTTCTTCTGTGAATAAATTACATCATAATCTCCCATTTTTCCGTCATTCCGGTTTCATTTGGACCATTTCTTAAACGAGCACATCATGGCGTTTCTGTCGGAGACGTGTTGTGGCATATGCATGGTGCCCTGGCCTCCCTTGGTCCCTTGGGGGCCAACCTGTCACAGACCTCTCTTCTCTGTTCTGCAGTAAACAAGTTCCATGTGTAAAGGAGAGGGCAGGTGTGTGTGCATCTGGCCGAGAAACACCACGGTTTAACTGCCGGGTCTGAAGGCGAGCGCTCATGCAGGAACTAGCACTGCCGTGGATATTCCCAGTAGAGGCCGCTGGGAAGGTGCTAAAGCTAAAGACCAGGACGAGCTGTGAGGAGCTAAACCTGGAAAAGCAACAGAAACTGGTCTCATGGTACTAGGGGGCGGAGGTAAAAAAAAAAAAGGTTTAAATTTAGGTTTTTAACTGTCCGGATTTTTTTTTTTATTATTTCTTAATTTTACCATAAACAATTCCCAAACACTAAGACTCCCGGAATTTGGAAACTGCCGCCTGCTGTCAATCAAACCAATGGAATTCTGACAAAATTCCCCAAAGAATATTTAGTTAATGAGTAATATATAAGCTTTATAAATGTACTTACTTTTAATGAGTGCTAAAATAGGACATTATTTAAAAAATCTGGTCATTATATTTGAAATACAGCACCAAAAGGCTAATGCTAAATTCTGATAGTAAACATTGTGTTGCTATGGTAACAAGCACTTGATCGTCTCTGGTGGAAAAGGCGTTGAAGGTAGAACTCCTCGTGTTTAAAAAAGAGTAAAAAATCGTTTCATAAAAGAAGAGACATAAAGATGAACTACATTTAAGAAGAGAAAAAGTCACATGTGAAGAATGCCTCTCTCTCTCTCTCTCTCTCTCTCTCTCTCTCTCTCTCTCTCTCTCTGGTGTCACCCTGGTCTCTCTCTCTGGTCTCTCTCTCTCTCTCTCTCTCTTTCTGCTCTCTCTCTCTGTTCTCTCTCTGTTCTTTCTTTGTTCTCTCGCTGCTCTCTCTGGTCTCTCTCTGCTCTCTCTCTAGTCTCTCCCTCTGTGCTCTCTCTTTGGCTCCGAACCGCGACCCGCCTCACCGCTCTTCCCGACGGCTTCCGCTGACTAAGACCATCGCAGCAAAAACCCCTGGCCCCGCCCCTTTCAATCCGTTTGATGACGATTGGCCGTGACACGCTAATTTTTCAAGGGTAATTTCCAAAATGCGGCTCACACACAACGTCTGGACGTATTAATCGCGGCTCTTCCCCTTCGGCGTGTGGCGCGCTCCGGCTCCGGGCAATAATAAATCACAGAGTGACAAGTGGCGCTCTCTTAACCTTGATGGAGCGAGAACGGCCCGAGTTCTTCAAATAAAGGCTTATTAGGCGATTGGCATCCATCATTGCTCTTGTCTGCTTCAATAAGAGCGCCGTTCTGACCCCAACGTCCCCGCGCCAAATAAATAAATGAATTATTGGCGTGCGATTGCGGCAAAGGCAAAGATCTAATGCGGTTAATGACGTGACGACAAGTTGGGGAGAGTAAACTTCAGCGGGATCCGTAATCGTTTTACCTACGTGCCGAGAGAGAGAGAGAGAGAGAGAAAAAAACGCCGGACTAAGACAAAAACTGCGGTAATCTGTAAAAATGCACCGGGAAAAAAATCAAATGGAATAAAAAAATAGACGTGCTGTGTTTGTGAGAATGATTCTATCTCAGAGGCTGTCTCTCTCTCTCTGTTCTCTCTCTGGGGTTTCTCTCTGTTCTCGCTCTCTGGTCTTTCTTTCCCTGGTCTCTCTTTGCGGTCTCTCTATTCTCTCTCTCTTCTCTCTCTCTCTCTGGTCTCTCTTTCCCTGGTCTCTGTCTGGTCTTTCTATTCTCTCTGTTTTCTCTCTTTCTGGGCTCTCTCTGTTCTCTTTCTCTCCCTGGTCTCTCTCTCTCTCTCTCTCTCTGTTCTCTCTCTCTGGTCTCTCTCTCCCTGGTCTCTTTATCAGTCTCTCTCTGGTCTCTCTGTTCTCTCTCTCTGTTCTCTCTCTCTGGTCTCTCTCTCTCCCTGGTCTCTCTCTCTCTCTCTGGTCTCTCTCTCCCTGGTCTCTCTCTCTCTGTTCTCTCTCTCTGTTCTCTCTCTCCCTGGTCTCTCTCTCTCTGTTCTCTCTCTTTCTGGTCTCTCTCTCTCTCTGTTCTCTCTCTCTGTTCTCTCTCTCTGGTCTCTCTCTATGGTCCATCTCTCTCCCTGGTCGCGTCCCTCCGCTTACTGGTGGGGGACAAGTCTCTCTCAGTGCAAGGTCTTCTTGGAGTCCCTGTCTCAACGCCAATGTGGGAAATGGCAGTGACACTTGGAGAGGGGTGATCGGGAAGAACGGCCCCCCTCATCTCACCCAGAGCGGTGTTCAGTTGTTGGACTTCTGTCTCTTTCCATCACAAACACCATGTTCCAGCACAAGGGTGTCCACCAGTGCAGGTGGCACCAGGACACCCTAGGCCGGAGGTCGATGATTGACTTTGCCATTGTATCATCTGACCTTCGACCGGGTGTCTCAGACACTCGGGGAGGGAGGCAGAGCTGTCAACCGATTTTTAGAGTTTTTAAACATAATTTCAAGGCCTGAGCCCCATAGCCCTCAGGTAGTACTATTATTTAAAAGTGGTTTGGAGTAAATGGGTCAAATGCCCTAAAAGCTATTGAAGAAAAACTGGTATTTTAACCAAATAAGCTATTGAAGAAAAACTGGTATTTTAACCAAATAAATCATTTAAAAATGTTAAAAGCTTTTAAGAACAATTTCAAGGGCTGAGCCCCATAGCCCTCAGGTAGTACTATTATTTAAAAGTGGTTTGGAGTAAATGGGTCAAATGCCCTAAAAGCTATTGAAGAAAAACTGGTATTTTAACCAAATAAGCTATTGAAGAAAAACTGGTATTTTAACCAAATAAATCATTTAAAAATGTTAAAAGCTTTTAAGAACAATTTCAAGGGCTGAGCCCCATAGCCCTCAGGTAGTACTATTATTTAAAAGTGGTTTGGAGTAAATGGGTCAAATGCCCTAAAAGCTATTGAAGAAAAACTGGTATTTTTAACCAAATAAATCATTTAAAAATGTTAAAAGCTTTTAAGAACAATTTCAAGGGCTGAGCCCAATAGCCCTCATTTATTACTATTATTTAAAAGTGGTTTGGAGTAAATGGGTCAAATGCCCTAAAAGCTATTGAAGAAAAACTGGTATTTTTAGGCACAAAATAATTTTAAAAGCTTTTAAGAACAATTTCAAGGGCTGAGCCCCATAGCCCTCAGGTAGTACTATTATTTAAAAGTGGTTTGGAGTAAATGGGTCAAATGCCCTAAAAGCTATTGAAGAAAAACTGGTATTTTTAACCCAAAAATAATTTTAAAAGCTTTTAAGAAAAAATTCAAGGGCTGAGCCCCATAGCCTAGAGGTAGTACTAATTTTGTAAAGTGTTTTGGGGTGACTGGGTCAAATGCCCTAAAAGGTATTGAGGAAAAACCCATACTTTATATAAAAAAATCCTTGAAAAATACACCAAATCTACTAAGCATAATTTCATGGCCTGAGCCCCATAGCCTAGAGGAAGTACTAATTTTGTAAAGTATTCTGTGGTGACTGGGTCAAATGCTCTAAAAGCTATTGAGGAAAAACCCATACTTTCCATTAAAAATCCTTGAAAAATACACCAAATCTATTCAGCATAATTTCATGGCCTGAGCCCCATAGCCTAGAGGTAGTACTAATTTTGTAAAGTATTTTGGGTTGACTGGGTCCAATGCCCTAAAAGCTATTGAGGAAAAACCCATACTTTAAATAATAAATCCGTGAAAAATACACCAAATCTATTCCGCATAATTTCATGGCCTGAGCCCCATAGCCTAGAGGAAGTACTAATTGTGTAAAGTGTTTTGGGGTGACTGGGTCAAATGCCCTAAAAGTTATTGAGGAAAAACCCATACTTTATATAAAAAATCCGTGAAAAATACACCAAATATATTCCGCATAATTTCATGGCCTGAGCCCCATAGCCTAGAGCAGCCATTCCCAAACTCAGTAACACCGAGGCCCCCTTAAAAATCTGACGGGTCTGCGTGGCCCCCCAAAATAATAACCAAGAAGACAACATTAAGAATAGGCTCTTCTGGTTATTTTATTTTGGGGAAATAGCCTCTGCTACAAACATTGTAATACAAAAATGATTACAGTGGCTTATTCAAGTCAAATAATGAACACAAATATTTTAATATTACAAACAAAACATTATACATTTAACATTAAATAATTATATTATTTTTTTATTTTTTTTATGACCTCCCGCGGCCCCCCTGCAGTACCCTCGCGGCCCACCAGGGGGCCGCGGACCCCACTTTGGGAGACACTGGCCTAGAGGAAGTACTAATTGTGTAAAGTGTTTTGGGGTGACTGGGTCAAATGCCCTAAAAGCTATTGAGGAAAAACCCATACTTTATATAAAAAAATCCTTGAAAAATACACCAAATCTATTAAGCATAATTTCATTGCCTGAGCCCCATAGCCTAGAGGTAGTACTAATTTTGTAAAGTGTTTTGGGGTGACTGGGTCAAATGCTCTAAAAGGTATTGAGGAAAAACCCATACTTTCTATAAAAACATCCTTGAAAAATACATCAAATCTATGAAGCATAATTTCATTGCCTGAGCCCCATAGCCTAGAGGAAGTACTAATTGTGTAAAGTATTCTGGGGTGACTGGGTCAAATGCTCTAAAAGGTATTGAGGAAAAACCCATACTTTATATAAAAAAAATCCTTGAAAAATACATCAAATCTATTAAGCATAATTTCATGGCCTGAGCCCCATAGCCTAGAGGTAGTACTAATTTTGTAAAGTGTTTTGGGGTGACTGGGTCAAATGCCCTAAAAGCTATTGAGGAAAAAAACATACTTTATATAAAAAAATCCTTGAAAAATACACCAAATCTATTAAGCATAATTTCGTTGCCTGAGCCCCATAGCCTAGAGGAAGTACTAATTTTGTAAAGTATTCTAGGGTGACTGGGTCAAATGCTCTAAAAGCTATTGAGGAAAAACCCATACTTTTCCATCAAAAGTCTTTGAAAAAACCATGAAATACAATAAAATATTAAATGTGGTAGACTAAATGTAATCTTTAGGTGTATTTTCTATCTCTTTTCATTAAAATTGTTTATTTGTATCATATTATTGATTTACACCTAAACTACATTTTTTACACAGACAGTAATTCATAGACGGTCCCTAAGTTCGAACGATCTTAGTGCTGGAGGCGAATATCCAACGTCCAACGTGAAACCAACTTCACCACGGTGGTCCCTCTCACGAAGCTCCAATGTGAGGCGACTAATGTCGTTCGTGGTCATTGCAGTGTCACTTTCCATGTCTGTGGTGCGCTCGTGGTAGCCTCCGAGCTAGCGCGTTTCGATTGGGTCTTTGTGTTAAAAGACGTGATGCTCTGGAACCATTGCATTTAAGATAATAAAACACTAGAGTGTACAAAAGACACTAATACACCGTAAAAACGTGTTTAAAAGGCTTTAAAAGGCTTAAAAAGGGTAAACAGAGCAGAGACGTCAAAACGCATTCTGCCTCAAAAATCCTGATACTCGAGTACTAGTTTATAGTGCTCCAGAGAGAGTAGAATGTGTAGAATTCTCAGGTCGTGTTTGAGGGGCTGGAGATCTGTGATGACCTCAGCCTGTGGTCAGAAACAGCACAGGGTCTCTCAAGTCTGTGGTGAACCCAGAACACGTTGGGTAGAAGCTACAACGACAATGTTTGGCTTTATATAACTAAAGGCTGTTGCCTTTAGTTATATAAAGGCAACATGTCTCTCCCACAGAGACATGTCACAGTGACATGTCTCTGTGGGAGATGATGGGGACGTTACTGATGAATGAAAGTAGATATTGATTCAGTAATATTTCTCTAACGACAGTGGACTAACAGGACTTTGCGGACTGGTGTCAGCAAAACCACCTCCTCATCACTGCGGGCAATATCAATGAAATGAACCACTTCCTCATCAACAAAGGAGATTTTGGTGGATCTCTGCAGACATCACTCTGATGTTCCCAGTGAACATCAAGGGAAGGGATATTAAGAATGTGGACTCTCACAAGTACCTGGGTGTTCATTTGAATCACAAACTGGACTGGCTCTACATGAGGAGGCTCAGGTCTGAACCTGCTGAGGAGGCTCAGGTCTTTTGGAGTGCAGGGGCCACTCCTAAAGACCTATGACTGGCACGGTGTGGTCTGCTGGAGCAGCAGCATCACAGAGAGGGACAGGAAGAAGCTGGAACATCAGAAAGTCCAGCTCTGTTCTGAAGAGCAGCTTAATAATAATAATGCATCGGTTTTATATAGCGCTTTTATGGACACTTAAAGATGCTTCACATGTCATATGCATCCACTCCATACACGGTGGTGATAAACAATTAATGTAACTACATCTGCCCTGGGGCACACTGACAGAATCGAGGCAACCAGTCTGTGCCATCGGCCCCTCCAACCACCACCAACCATTCACACACACCCGACTCCTTCTAGGAAATGGGGGTGAGGTGTCTTGCCTAAGGACACAACAACAGATTGGCACTTTACAGCCGCAGCCGTCCCACTGTGGCTGGTGTTCCCAGAGGTTAAGTGTCTTGCCAAGGACACAACAGCAGCAGACATCAGAGGGAGTCAGTGGAGACCTGGGCTCATACATCTCAAAGGCCAATGCTCTACCAACTGAGCCACTGTCGCACTGAAACCAAAATATATCCAAAAATAAGAGCTGGGGTCAGCAAAATAATAAGAGCATATATTCGAAAACATGCACACATCAAACAGGATCTTTTATTTAAGATAAGATAAGATTTGCTTTATTTATCTCACATAGGAGAAATTTACATGTCACACTTGGCATGGATAGAACACTCAGATTGTGCAAAAGGAGGAAATGTGCAAACATGTTAAATGCAGGATATATGTACAACAAAAGTGACAACAATTATGTACAACAAAAGTGACAAGTGTCAGTTGGAAACAGTGTCAAAACAGTTTCACACAGTGATCATTTAAAGTGACTTGTTGTACAGTCTGACAGCGGTGGGGATAAAGGCCCTAGCGCTCCTTCCTACACTGAGGGTGTCTCAGTCTTCCACTGAAGGAGCTCCTCAGCTCCTCTACAGTCCTGTGCAGTGGGTGGGAGGTAAGATAATAGATAATAAAATACGATGATAAAATGAAACTCTGGAGGTATAATTGCACTTGGGTCAATGATTAACAGATGGTTGGTAATCAACTCAAGCAGCAGAGAATGATGAAAGGAATATGTAATAATGTAGTAATACGAATAGCGGGTAAAGTACAGACTCTGCAGTTCCCATTGTACAGTCTAACAGCAGCAGTAAGTATGTGAAATACTGTATTAAAACCATGTGTAAGAAGGTATCACACATGTTTCATCTGGTCATTACATATTCTGTATATTCTATTTATTTGGACACACTTTCTCATTCAATGAATTTCTTTTCATGACTATTGACTGTAGATCCACACCAGGCTGTGTAAGGGCTGTTTGACCAATAAGGAGAGTGATGGTGCTGGGCCAGATGACCGGGCCTCCAGCCACCGGACCTGAACCCAATCTAGATGATTATGGGGTTGGACCACAGAGTGAAGGGGCCAACAAGTGCTAAGCATCATGGGAAGTCCTTCAAGACTGTTGAAGACCATTTTAGGTCCTCTTGAAGCTCATCTCGAGAATGCCAAGAGTGAAGCAGTATCAGAGCAAAAGGTGCTACTTTGAAGAACCCAGAATATAAGACACATATTCAGTTGTTTCCTACATTTTTGTTTTAGTACGTACATAATTCCACATGAGTTCATTCATAGTTTTGATGCCTTCAGTGTGAATCTACAATATTCATAATCATGAAAACTCTTTGAATGAGAAGGTGTGTCCAAACCTGTGGTCTGTGCTGTACGTATGCAAATATATATATATATATATATATAACAACGCATCGGTTCTATATAGCGACACAGGACACCCAAAGATGCTTCACATGTCATTATTATATGCATGTACACACATGTCATTAATATATGCATGTATATATGTAGTATGAAGTATTGTGAGTATAGTTTTGTCTGTATTGTGCATGGTTAACAAAACACAGCATCAGACCAGTACACAGGACCAGCATCACGTCTGCGCTGCTGTTGGACGTGCATCACCTCTCCCATCTGCTTACTCTGGCGCATGCGCACTGCGGCTCTCCATCATTTTCAATATCCCACTGTAGGAGAACCAGCAGAGGCAGTCAACTAATGGGTAACGCTCCTTTTCCTATTTTAATGCTCAGTTCTTTATGATTACATCCTTACGTGTCTCGCAAAGCATTGCTATGTCTTCTATTGAACGTGCTTGTTGTATTGATCCATTTGAGGCTGAATGTGACGCAGACGGAGACGGTAGTGGCAGAAGAGCGTCTCTCTTCGCTCTCTCCCTCGGAGCGGACTGGGGCTGCTCTGCTGCTAGCTTCATGCTAAGCTTCATGCTAAGCTTCATGCTAAGCTTCATGCTAAGCTTCATGCTAAGCTATATGTGCAGCTCGGCCTGGCCCTGGCCTCGCCAGGCCCCTGCTCTACAATGTACTGCGCTCCGAGCGGCATCAGAGTTCCCCTGGCTGTGTCCACCTCGGACCCAGGGCTGTGGCCAGTGTTTGGAGGTGGTTTGCGTGTTGCTCACACTTGTACTCGTTTTTTTTTACAGCAGCAGAACTCTTCGGATAATCCGGTTTCATTACAACAAGCTAGCAGGCTAGCTAACAGCTAACGGGAGCTAGACAGCTGACGCTGGACATGCTAACCCCAGCTACAGCTCAGCTACAGCTCAGCTACAGCTCAGCTAGTTGGATGCTGTGTCTATCGCATGTAAAGAATAGGCAGGCGGTGGTTGTGTGGTGTATGCGGTCTCCGAGGCTGGACGGCTGCAGGGATGAGGTGGACTGGTCTTACCTGGACACAGACATGTAATAACAGTGTGATGTCGCTGAAGGGCTTTGAAGCAGCACTTGGCACTGTTGATGTGTGGCTAAATATTTTGCTAATTGGCCTTAGAAGTTTCTAAGGATTTAAGTGAAATACTTACGTAGTGAACAGTTTGGCATGTGTAAAGTGCTGCATTACACGCAGCTGTCAAAACCCAATGTGAAGGTGGAATGTCAGCCCATGTTTGCACTGTTGTCTGTTGAGGGGAGTGGATATGATCTTCTTTATGAGGATCCAATAAAGACGGGAATGGTGCATTGTCATTGGCACTACGCTGCAGAATCATGACATTTACAAAACACAAGGAATGCTATTGAAATATCGCCTAAACAAACATCTGTATTTGATAATACTGTAACGTGACTTTTACTCAAAACCAGGGACTGCTGCCACTAAAGTGATCATCACTGTCCTTAGACCATTCTATATCGGCAAGGAACTAAGGACTGAGGCTGTAGATCCGGGACTGAGGCTGTAGATCCAGGACTGAGGCTGTAGATCCAGGACTGAGGCTGTAGACCCAGGACTGAGGCTGTAGATCCAGGACTGAGGCTGTAGATGCAGGACTGAGGCTGTAGACCCAGGACTGAGGCTGTAGATTCCAGGACTGAGGCTGTAGACCCAGGACTGAGGCTGTAGATTCCAGGACTGAGGCTGTAGATCCGGGACTGAGGCTGTAGATCCGGGACTGAGGCTGTAGATCCAGGACTGAGGCTGTAGATCCAGGACTGAGGCTGTAGATCCAGGACTGAGGATGTGTGGTGTAGGACAAGGACTTAGGAGGTTTTTGGAGAAGCAGTTCCATTATCTTTATTGTATGCTTGTGTGAGTCATTGATAATTTACCCATAAATAAGATCAACCATCAGCTGGATCCTTCTGGGGTCTATTATCGTGATAGTGTCTTTGTAAATGTAAAAGAGGGTAGCCTTATAAGGATTGAGGCCTTTATTTGTGGATGGAACTCCAGCTTGCCTTAGCAACCGTCTTAGCAACACTTCTGCTCCTACAGCGCAAAGGTAATTCCACGGACCAAATGCTCATAAAAGGAAATTGGCTCCAACTAGCTAATTTTAAAATTCAGTAGGGCAAACACTAGGGTTATGTCACACTAGGGTGATGTCACACTAGGGTGATGTCACATCATGGTGATGTCACACACGCTTGGCCTCCTCCTGCGCCGTGTGGGTACGACTGATGTTTGACATTTTATTGGATCAATACCAATGTTTGATGGTTCGTTTTATATATTTCTGTGATCATGTTCCGCCACAAGCGCATCGACTGATGGACTACGCATTTTTGGCTCTGAAGCACAAGCTCTTCTCATGAAGCGTTAGTCATCGTCACACTTTCATATTTACTGTTTATGATGATTATGAGAGATTATTGACACAGCAATGGTGCTGTGGTTGGCACTTGTTCCTCACAACACAAAGGTCCTGGGTTCGAGTTCTCCAGTCCTTTCTGTCTGGGATTTGCATGTTCTCATGTCGGCACAGGTTTCTTCCAGGTGCTCCGGTTTTCCCTAGCTCTAAAAACATGCACAATAATGATTGGAAGATGGTGACCTTGGTCTGTGACGTGTGTTATATAAATAAAGATTACTTACAGAACAGTCACACTCCTGAACTCTCACCCTGTTAAAGCCCATTTGATGCACTTTAATGTAATGTAATATCATTAATGTATAGCAAAAGCAGCTTGTACAGGCTCACATAAATGCAAATATATTTATTTGTGTTGTAAATATGATCCTATACTGGTTAGATGCTAAACTGCATTTTGTTTCATTGTTCTGACTTTGTAATGACAATAGAGTTGAATCTAATCTAATGTAGTAGAAAATCCTAATTTACTTTGGCCTTGTTTCCTCCAGCCCTTCTTGGCCCTGCTTGGCCCTGCTCTGCTCTGCTCTGAGCCAGGCCGAGCTGGGCCATACTGGTGGAAACAGGACTCTGTTATTAACAGGCTTATAAGCAGCTGCCTGTGGCTGTTGAAAATGTGAATCAGGTTTGAATGATTATGAATTGTCTCTTGTCTGTTGTACAAGAAAGTGTAATATTCTTTGCTTTGGTTCATGTTTGTTGACAGGAACCATGGGAACCCCGTGGCCCCGCAGTCCTCGTCAAGCGGGATGTTGAAGGCGAGAAGTCACTTTTGGTACAGTGGATGGTGACGGACTGAGGAGCACTCCCCCCTAAAGGAGCACCCCCCCCCCCCCCCCCCCAAGAGGAGCACTCCCCCCCAAGAGGACCTCCAGAGTCCCTCCAGACACCTCATGGCTCTGGACCACAGTAATGGAAGACCATCCACCGTTTTGCACAGTCTCCACGATGCAGCTTAAAGGGTAAGTCCAATGTCCCCTGAGGCCCGCCCCCCGACACGGCATCATGACCAATGTCTAATCATTGTATGTCTCCTGTGTGCGTATGTGTTTGTGTGTGTGTGTGTGTGTGTGTGTGTGTGTGGGTGGCAGGTGGTGTGTGTAAAAGCGGAGGAGAAATGAATGGAGGACAGGAGTGTGAGGGCGGAGCTGAGCGGGGCCTGGTCCAGGTGCCCATCGGCTGGCAGCGCAGACTGGACCCTGCTGGACTGGTCTGCTACATAAGGTACAAATAAATGCTATTTTACTGTATTACTTTTTAATTAACTGCTATTACTACTATGTTGAATATTATTAGTTGAATAAATGTAAATACAAGCCCAAGTTAATGCTGGGAGAGAGGACTGTGTTTCCTTTATGTGACACAAATGTGTGTGTGCAGTCCCAGTGGCTCCATGCTGGCCAGTCTGGAGCAGGTGAAGACCTACCTGCTGTCCGATGGCACCTGCAAATGTGGACTTGAGTGTCCACTCATCCTCCACAAGGTAAGCTCAGCTGCCCCCACCCAGTCACTCCCAGGTGTCACACCAGGCTGCCAGGAACTTCACACATGAAAAACATCCTGTTAGAGTCATTGCTGGTTGCCTCGCTTCTTTTGGGATGCCCCAAGGCAGCTCTGGCGTCAAGAGTAGTTTATCCCATGTTCAGGGAAAGAATAATGTTCTGAAGCATGTTTTTCTCTGTTAAAGCTGGAATAACTCACTTTTTTATTTTGAAGCAGCAGTTTCAAATGTAAGCGCTGCCCTCGCTCTTTCTGCTCCCCTCCCTGCACTCACCAAGCTATCGCCCCCCACTACCCCTGACTACCCCCCTCCCACTACCCCCCATTACCCCCCCTTCCACTCAGCCTGTGCTCATGTGCTGTTGTTTACGGAGCTTGCGTCTCACAATATGGATCTCACATTTGCACGAGGATGGCGTGACCATAGAAAGATAAAACCGGTAAACGCGGAGAACGAGACTTTCTTTTGGCTATTTCGCTGAGTAAACCGTAACCGTTAACAAAGACACAGGAAGTTTCAGGTTCGCCTCCGCCATGATGCTCGTTTACCTCAACTGTCTGCTAACGAGAGACCTGTAGATTATCTTAAGAAAGTGGGGGCCCATGGGCCGCTGTGATAGCCTGGTTTTACCACACCTTAGTACAAATTACATTTCATACTAAGGTCTGGATTTGCTCCATTGAGCTCAGTTTACAGGTGGGAGGGGTTAACTCCTTTTGCAGATTGAAACGATTGGATCTGAGTTTACCGTGACGTATGTAATGCGCCCGAGTGTGTTGTTAGCATTTAGCATTTAGCCTAGCCGTCTTCTTTGTTGCTAACGGAGCCCGTGGGGAGCAGCGCCACAATCTTTACTAGCGATTACATTTGCTGAACATTCCTCTTGCTCCGGCTTCAATTTCTTGATAGAACTAGACCGGATTACTTTACTATCGCATTCTTCGCCACTGCCAAACTACAATCTGCCCGTTCGGCGCAAACTCTTGACGTCACCGGCACCGACCTACAACACCCGCCTTCCGCGCTCTCTGAGTAGCCGGTCGAAATACAACCGATTGTATTCGCTAACACAGGGACCAGACCCAGACGTTACATGCAGTGAAAATGATGATTGAGCGGAGTGTACGGATGGCTATGGCCAGGCTCCCGCTGTGATTGGTCACAATCTGGTCCGAAAACGAATTCTCTTCCTTGTTGCACAATAATTCAATCTAAGATAAAATGACACTCCAGTACAAACCTGCGCTACTTATTCTTCAAAAGGACGTATGTCCCAATGCACTGCATGGATATGGATTGAATTTTTTCTTAATGAATACAAAAATAAATTGAGGTAATCCAGCTTTAAGCCCTATTAGTGACTTGAGTTCTACTCAAATCTGAGACGCTCCTGTAGATGTATTACCCATTTTGCTTTGTTTTGCAGGTGTTTAACTTTAACGCGGCGGCCACAGTAAAGCTGAGGACTGCAGAGGATGTGAAGGCTGATGAAGATGTCACAAAACTGTGCATCCACAAAAGGAAGCTGCTGGCTGTGGCTACACTGCACAAAAGCATGAGCCACTCTCCTCTGATGAGCAGTCCTGCAGGTACACATCCTTCTGAGCCCTGGGTTAGAGCTAGGGTTAGGGCTGGGGCTGCTCACATTTACCTCTCTCCTGTTGTCTGTCTGAAGGTGCACTGTCTGTAGGAGCTCCACATTCCTTGGGTCAACGTGCGGTCAGGATGAAAGGCCACGAAGGCCCAAACGCTGTCGGTCCAGAGGGAAAGAGTTCTTTCACCATGATGATCGCAGCCGGGCCAAGGTATCCTGCACCGGAAGTGGCCGCAAGCCAGCCGCCGGAGATGTATTCTGGATACCAGAGACAGAGACTGGCCAGTGGAGCCCCGAGTCCTAAGTCCCCTTATCGCTATGGAGGCATGCTGAGCCCCCCTCCAACTTCAAAAATGTATGGAGATGGTTCTCAGTCGCCTTGTGCAGAAACTCTGGGGAGCCCAGATGGCTTCACCAGGACGAATCTGTGTGGCTTTCCAGGAGGTGGCAGTCCGAGCTCCACTCCTCATCTTGGGAATAACCGGACACCTCTCTCTCCTAATGTCCTGCTCCGTGGCTCTCCTCCAGGACAGCCATCCTGTTCTCTGACAGGAAGGACTAGTACTTCACTTTCCCCTGCGGCTACGGCCAAAAGCCCAGTCATGAATCTTCCCCGAGGCACTTTCCCCCCTGGTATGGATATGCCCCGTGCTCAATTCCACCTCAAAACACAGCCCCCGGTACATTCTACCCCCCCACACCCCCCCTGTGCCCTGCAGAAAAGACAGTTAACTTCTGAACAAGACCCCCTGGGCATCCTTGATCCCATCCCAAGCAAACCTGGTGGCCAGGTGGCAAACCCCAACTTTCAGCCCCCCATTCACTCTCAGGTACCAGTGATGAATGTAAACATCCCACCCCCCGCCATTGTCCCTTTGCCAAGCAACTTACCTTTACCCACAGTGAAACCAGGCCCTGCGAGCCATGTTCAAAGGACTCAAGCTGGAGCTACAGCATCTGTGTCTCCGTCCCCAGTCACTTCCCCCGTGCACATGACAGGGCCCGCACACGGCCGGATGGAGGCCTCGCCCCATCGCTCTCGCTCCTCCTCCACCTCTTCTGACCACGGCAGCTTTGCCATGCCGTCTGGGCATCAGCCCCCATGTGTGACCATCAAGGTCCCGCCTCGGTCTCCGCGCTCTGCCATGGGGTCCCCCAGGCCCATGCCCTCCAGCCCCTCCACAAACAAAAGTGACCACCTGCATCAGTTCAAAGACTCCCCACTGATGCCTGCAATGGCGAACCCTGTGTGTGTCCAGCAGCACAGTAACATGTACTCCCCCTCCTCCTCCCCGTCACCTTCTACCTTAGCCAACCCCAGCGCTTCCCAGAAGGGCCACCCAGGTCTCCTGGGGATGCCCCTCAACCAGATCTTAAATCAGCAGAACGCTGCTTCATTCCCTGCCAGCAGTCTCCTCTCGGCGGCAGCCAAAGCACAGCTAGCTAATCAAAAACACAGTTCGCCCAGCAACACCTCTGCTGTGGCCAGTGGTGGAGTGTGCATGGGGGGCATGGGTGCAGGGGGTCACCCTGGCCCTGGGGGGGACCCTCGTGTAGAGGGACACAGCACTTTAAACCCTATGCTCCCTCCCAACTCGTCCGTGCTGCTGCACAGCCCTGAGGGCCAGAGCGGCAGAGCAGCTCTGAGAGACAAGCTCATAGCCCAGCAGAGAGACCCCATGCGCAAGAGGAAGTCCTCGTCTGGAAACCTGCCTGGGACTCACGACCCGGGCAACAGCACCATGTACAACATGCTAAACAAGCCGGCTATGGGAGGCCCTCACCTGCAGGGGCCCAGTGCTCCTGAGCAGATGCGAAAAGTGGGACGAATGGGTCCTCTTCCTCCCAACACCTCCATGGCTCAGCTGCTTCAGTCCATGAGCTGCCAGAGCTCCCACAGCCTGAGACCCGGCCTCAGCCCCGCTCCAGGGGCTGGCCCACACCACTACAGCCCTGGGGGCCCTGCACAAAACCTCTTAGCACAGCAACGGCTCCGCACTTCAGGGGACCCCATGCAGCACTGCCAGAACATGGAACCCTCTGGGGGTCTCCTGGGTCATCATCAGCCCCCGTTCCCAGACATGATGTCCCAGAGGCAGACCCCGTCCATGACCAACTGTGGACCAATGGGCCCAGACTGTATGCCTATGGGACGTCCCAGCACTAACCCTCCTCCATTGTCTCATCCAAGTCCTCATGCTAGTCTTCACCCTGGCTCCCACCCAGGTGGTCCTCATCCAGGTGGTCCTCATCCATGTGGTCCTCATCCAGGTGGTCCTCATCCAGTTGGTCCTCACGGTGGTCCTCATCCAGGTGGTCCTCGCCTAGGTGGGCCTCACCCTGGTCCTCACAGTGGTCCTCACGGGGCTCCTCACGGTGGCCCTCACCCTGGCTCTCACCCTGGCTCTCACCCTGGTCCTCACCCTGGTCCTCACGGTGGCTCTCACCCTGGCTCTCACCCTGGTCCTCACAGTGGTCCTCATGGCGGCCCTCACCCTGGTCCCCACCCAGGGCCTATGTCTCACCCTGGACAGAACCACCTCCACAGTATGGGAAGGACTAGCATGATGATGTCACATGGAGGCGTTGACAGCAGTGTTCTCAGCCCCTCACAGACCAAGGTGAGACTTCCACCACAGACACACTGATCTCAGGAGACACAGACTGGACCATAGCTACTGTGACAACGCAATTTCCCTTGTGGATCAATAAAGTCTGTCTAAGTCTAAGGCCCCGTCCCAATTCTGAGGGCCCTCGAGGTGTGAGTGCCCTCACCAAAAAAGTGCCTTCCCATAGGGGATTGCACTCACCGGATATTCTCCCTAAGAATTGGGACACCCCTGGATCTAGACACATGTACATACACGTACGCACAGAGACGTACCACACAGAGACAGACGAGTACAGCCCGGATCAACAGATCAGATCAGAATCATATGCAACTAAGTAACGGATCACAATGGAAATGCTTGTCAATGCTGGATCAAGCAAAATGTTCAACATAACCATCATGGATCTATAATAATAACATGGATCTATAATAATAACATGGATCTATAATAATAACATGGATCTATAATAATAACATGGATCTATAATAACAACATGGATCTATAATAACATGGATCTATAATAACAACATGGATCTATAATAATAACATGGATCTATAATAACAACATGGATCTATAATAATAACATGGATCTATAATAACAACATGGATCTATAATAACAACATGGATCTATAATAATAACATGGATCTATAATAACAACATGGATCTATAATAACAACATGGATCTATAATAATAACATGGATCTATAATAATAACATGGATCTATAATAATAACATGGATCTATAATAACATGGATCTATAATAATAACATGGATCTATAATAATAACATGGATCTATAATAACAACATGGATCTATAATAACAACATGGATCTATAATAATAACATGGATCTATAATAACAACATGGATCTATAATAACAACATGGATCTATAATAATAACATGGATCTATAATAACAACATGGATCTATAATAATAACATGGATCTATAATAACAACATGGATCTATAATAACAACATGGATCTATAATAATAACATGGATCTATAATAATAACATGGATCTATAATAATAACATGGATCTATAATAATAACATGGATCTATAATAATAATAACATGGATCTATAATAATAACATGGATCTATAATAATAACATGGATCTATAATAATAACATGGATCTATAATAATAACATGGATCTATAATAACATGGATCTATAATAATAACATGGATCTATAATAATAACATGGATCTATAATAATATGGATCTATAATAATAACATGGATCTATAATAATATGGATCTATAATAACAACATGGATCTATAATAATATGGATCTATAATAATAACATGGATCTATAATAATAACATGGATCTATAATAATAACATGGATCTATAATAATAACATGGATCTATAATAATAACATGGATCTATAATAATATGGATCTATAATAATATGGATCTATAATAATAACATGGATCTATAATAATAACATGGATCTATAATAATAACATGGATCTATAATAATAACATGGATCTATAATAATAACATGGATCTATAATAATAACATGGATCTATAATAATAACATGGATCTATAATAACAACATGGATCTATAATAATAACATGGATCTATAATAACAACATGGATCTATAATAACAACATGGATCTATAATAACAACATGGATCTATAATAATATGGATCTATAATAATATGGATCTATAATAACAACATGGATCTATAATAATATGGATCTATAATAAGGCTGAGCGATATGGCAAAAAAGTAAAATCTCGATTTTATTTCCTGCTTGGACGATTTCGATTTTAAATCAATTTTCATTAAAGTCATCAAACACAGACTTTGTTCTTAATAATATGTTTTGATCTTTCTGCTCAATATTCAAGTTTCAAAGCAATTTTTAATTTGTTTCCCCCAATACGTATTACAAAAGTCCTGTACAGACTGTGCTGATATCGCAAGTATTTCGCAAGTAATTCATGTGTTGCTGGAACTCTCACAATTTCCTTAATTCGATTTCACAATTCACACATTTTTCACAAATTCGATTTTTTCAAAAGCCGATTAATTGCCTAAATTCGATTTATTGCCCAGCCCTAATCTATAATGATAACATGCACCACGTCTCTGAAGCCTCAGTGAACGGCACACGCTGCGGCCGCTTTGGGAGTGAACGTCACCACACACGGCACCGACACACACATTAAAAACTCTGAATGACTCGCACACGCCTCGGAGCTTCCTCACATTCAGCACAAACTTGCGCCCGTGTGTTTCATGTTGTTTTCTTTCATTGTGGCGCGGCTTTACCAACAGCTATCCTAAACGCAAAAAATCTAGGGCAAGGGTGATTTTTAAGGGTAAGGGTGAGAATTGGGACGGGCTTAAGTCTAAGGCTGGACCATAGACTTTCAACTCTAGCACGCTGCTCAGAATTGCATGTGCACGTCATTCTCACTTTTGCTGGACCATAGACTACGCCTTAAACCGGACCACAGACTGGACCACAGACTGGACCACAGACTGGACCACAGACTGGACCACAGACTGGACCACAGACTGGACCACAGACTGGACCACAGACTGGACCACAGACTGGACCACAGACTGGACCACAGACTGGACCACAGACTGGACCACAGAGATGAAAATCCTTTGTAACTAGAGATGTATCACTGGGCTCTGATTTTTTCCGAACTCTGGTCCTGAGTTTTTACTGCAGTTTTTAACCAACAAAGCTTAAGATTGTGTTTTTGGTTGCTATGTGGTTGCTATCATCAAATCAGCTTCTTCCTAATCTGTGGGTGATGTCACATCTCTGTGATCCCAGTTTCGTATCGTCAACGGTTTGAATCCATTGAAATGGCTTTGATCTTTGAGGCGGATATCAGTTTTGTCTTTTCCTGTTTGACATCAGGGGCCCGAGCGCAGACACCGCGGCGCAGCGACAGGAGGATGGGTCAAATGCAGAGACATGAACATGAAAATTTGTTTTGGTGCGGGCCCCTACATTTACACTCTGTGACTGCACACTCCTGACCCCGACCCAAGTGGAACCCTAGTGCAGACCCTCCCCTAGTGAAAAAAAGGGTTACGGTCCCACATACAGTGTTGCTGTGTTACTGTGTCCTTGGGCAAGACGCCTACCCTTCCATGAGAGGGTGTTTGTGTGCTACGATGTTGATCACGAGTAAACATGATGAGGGATGTCACTGTGTTTGTTGTTTGGACAGTGACTCCGTCTCGCCGGGGGATGGGGCCCCTGCCGCTTCACGGACCTCCTGCAGTGAACTCCAGCAGCACCTCCCTGTACCAGCAGTCAGCCCACCAACGCATGCAGCACCCGGCCTACAGGGGGCAGCACTACCCAGAGAACAGTGCTAATGCTAATGCAGACATGAGCTGCTTGTACCAGAACTATCAGGTGTGTGCTCCCCTCTCTCCTTTCCTCCTTCTCTCTCCCCTCTCCCCAACTCAGTCTCCTCCTACTCTCTCTCCTCCTACTCTCTCTCCTCCTTTTCTCTCTCCCCCTACTCTGTTTCCTTTTTCTCTCCTCCTACTCTGTCTCCTTCTACTCTCTCTCCTACACTTGCGTACTACTCTATGTGAACCCTTTGTAATCATGTCTCTGTTCTTGTGGCCTCAGCAGGGGCTGATGCAGGGGCCCTTTGCAGAGGCAGAGCCCCGGAGCGAGGGGCCCCCAGCAGCTGCTTTGTGCTCAGAGCGGGCCCCTGGAGGAGGCCCTGAAGCTGTGGATGCCATCTACAGAGCTGTGGTGGACGCTGCCAGCAAAGGGATGCATGTAACTATCACAGCCACAGTGAGCGGGACGACCCAGGCCGGCCCCGTGCCGGCCCTCAGTGCTATGAGTGCCTTCACTGCGTCGATAGGGGAACCTGTCAACCTGCCCCAGGCCGTGAGTGCTGTCCTACATGGCCAGGACGGGGACACCCGCTCCAGGGTCCTGCGCCGAGCTCCCAAGAATGAGATGGTCAAGAGCTCCCTTGAGGCCCCTGAGGGGGGGGAGTACTTCCGCTCCCCTGGCCGTGGGACCCCCAGGGGCCAGTGGGACAGGGAACATCACCCTCCGTCTGTGGACTCGCAGAACAGCAGCTGGGGAGAAGAGTTTCTGGAGTGTTCTACTCAGGTCAGGAGCAGTCCCTGTGTGGAACGACCAGCTAGTCTGGCCCCTGCCCCACCCTGCCCCTCTGAGGGCCACGGAGACTTGGTCATGGCCCCTACGCACAACAAGGCTTTCCTGGAGGACAACTATCGCTTCAATAATTGCGGCCGGGCCCCTTCCCGTCTGGAGCACGGGACTCTGAACGGCTCGGGCAACCCTTTCAACAGCCGAGTGTACGGGGACGTCCTGACCGGGGACGACCAGTCGCCTGGCTCCTCCACTAGCCTAGAGGGGCCCCTGGCCAAGGACTACAGCCACTACAATGGTCACCACAACGGGATGGCCCCTAGCCCCTCAGACACCAAGAGCCTGAGCAGTGAGGAGGACCTGCGGCCCCCAGACTCCCCCTCCTCAGAGCCCCTGTACCGCTCCAGGACCTTCAACATGGGGGAGCTGGTCTGGGGCCTCAAGGGCTTCCCCCAGTGGGCCTCCAAGCTGACCCCCGATGAGCAAGCCGCGCTGCAGCTGAGGGAGCAGGCCCAGGTCTCTGCTCCTCTCCCCTCTCCCGCTCCACTCTTTTCTCTCTCCTCCCTCTCCTCACTTCTCTCTCTCCCCTGTCCTCACTCCGCCCCTCTCTCATGCCTTTTTCTTCACCCGTCTCTCTCCTGTTAATTTATCTTCTTCCCTTCTCCTCAGCCCTCTCTCTCATCTCATCTCCTCTTACCCTTCTCATCCTCCTTTCTCTCCTCACCCCTCTGCTCCTCTCTCCCCTCTCTGCTCCTCTCTCCTCACTCTCTCCTCACTCTCTCCTTACTCTCTCCCCTCTCTCTCCCCTCTCTCCCCACTCTCTCCCCACTCTCTCCCCACTCTCTCCTCACTCTCTCCTCACTCTCTCCTTACTCTCTCCCCTCTCTCTCCCCCTCTCCCCTCTCTCCCCACTCTCTCCCCTCTCTCTCCCCTCTCTCTCCCCTCTCTCTCCTCTGCTCCTCCACGCTCACACTGTGTCTGTTTCAGGTGGAGCCTGAGAAGCTGAAAACACTAACCCACGACCTGGAGGCCCTGGAGCGGGCCGCTAAACTGGGGCTGAAGTGAGTTCACCATAATAATCCAATCCTCTTGTACTTAAATGAAATCAGGAGAGAAAGACCTCGCCTGTGCTCATAGAACAGACAAAACAGGAAAACACACATTATTGTGTGCAGGATGTTTGAGACCTGGTTTAACCAATCAGGTCTTTGTCTGGGTTTCTATGCATTTCCCTCTGAGGGCAGGTGACTCTGAGATGACTGTACTAACCTAAATATGTTTGGGTCTTGTTCGGCAGGCCGGGGAAACTGAATAATCACTTAGAAGCTGCTATCCAAGAGGCCATGAGCGAGCTGGACAAGATGTCTGCTACAGTAAGTGTGCGGCTGTACTTTAGCCTTCTTGTGATGTCATACTCACTCTGCCTCTCCTTCTGCAGCGGGAGCGGCAGTTGAAATTGCCCAAGTCCAAGAGGAGGAAGATCTCTAGATAACAGCGACTGAGGCCCAGCTCCACGGTGCTAACACGGACTTACTGCTCTCCGGCCGCAGACAACACTACTGTTGTCTACAGCTCACTGAATGAACTATTTTTTTCTAGTCACATAGTAAAACATGAAAACTATGAGCTATTACCTGCATATTTAAGAAAATAGACAGTCCAAATATTTCTGATACATTTTCAATATGTATATAGATAATCCTGAAATTTCATGCTATTAAGAATTGTATGTAAATATTGTACAAGCGTACGTAATGCACATTTTATCTTTTATTGTACAAACAGAAGTGAATCATGTGTTTCTAAGAGTGAGCTGAGGGCGGCGAGTAACACTACAGTCTCATGTCGTCCTCCCAGTGCCCTGTAGGGGGCCCCCTCTCCTCCGCTCTCACTCTCCCCCTCCTCAGTCAGAATGAGCTTTACCACAAAAGTGTTCTTCAGAGTCAGTCTGTCCACTACAGACGTCTGCAGAGTCCACCCCAAGCTGCTTCAGGAGGCCCCTGAGGGCCCCATGTTACAGTTAGGCACCTGAGGGCCTCAGTGTGGAGCAGCCCGTGGGTGGAGGGCCCTCACCTGGCCCTGAGCTTTGTGAGCAGCAAAGCCACAGACGCAGACCTCTTTTGTTTCCTCTGGTTGGATTGTGTTTACTCCTAAGTTATTTGTGTACAGTACTCCATATTTATTTTGAGCTTTACAAATATGATGGCAATAATACTACAAAGAGTTAAGAACTCAAGCCTTATATGTGTATGTTTTGTGTGTGTGTCTGTGTGTTTGTGCACGTTTGCACCAGTGCGTGTGCGTGCGTGTGTACACGTGTGTGTGTACCTAGCGGACACTAATGAAGAAAGGTCCTGTTCCGTGTCCTCCCGCTCCGCCGCTGGCCCCGTGTAAACATATCGTTGTCCTCTGCTTTTGTCCGCGGTGCCACGGATTGTAATGTGCTCCTCTGACACCAGGTGTCGCTGTGCCCGGTGTGTCTGGTCATATACAGTCTATGGGCAGGACGCGGGCGGCTCGGACACAGCTGTGGGTAAAGTTCATTCTGCTCAGACTGTTTGTGTGAGTGCTTCATGCTCACGTCAGTATTTGATTCTCGGTATATATTTATATATACTGTGTGAGTGTTTGGGTTTGTTTGTTTGGACTAGAGATAGTCGGTCCATCCTCCTGTTCGGACGTTTTTAATGGTTTAATGTAAGGCGGTTTGTTGTAAATACTGTGACATCACAGGTCATGCAGTGATGTAACATTAGGACGATGTTACACAGATGTTTAAGATATTAAACTCACTTTTACTTGAACCACAGAACAGTCTGTTATTTGAACATTTATCATTTTTATCTTTAAAATATGTGTCCACACCTGTTGGACACAAGTGGTGAGTGACTGCAGCGCCACCTGCAGGTGAAACCAGATGCAGGCATGGCCCAGACTTCTCCACACACACTTCCCCCAGCTCAGGCCAGCTGAGACCCCCTGGTCTCCTCTCGGTGGGACAGGCCGACAACACTTCCTGAGGGTCGTGTTCAGGAGGCTCCACTACAGATATTTAATATTGTATTTCCTGTGATTCAAATGATTCTCTGATCTGTTGTTGGTTATTCCACAACTTAGTCCTATGAGACGACTGCTGTTGTGATTTATGACACACAAATATAAGTAAACAGACGAGTCACAATCTAAAAACACATTTATTTACATCACATGGATGACTTGAGCAGATAAACCATGACCGGCTCCTTGAGCAGAGCTGCAGCACTGGCCCCCAGGAGCCAGGTCACATTTTGAGTCCAGACTCAGTGCTGCAGCTCTGCAGAGACTTAAACATCAGAAAGTAGTGTTTCTATTCTTTTTGTTCTTTTATATATATTTATATATTTGACCATTATACAATCAGCTGTTTCCTCTAAAGCTCATGTCCGCTGTTCCATGGTAGCGTCCTGTTACCACGGCGTCTGAGTTCTACGCCTGCGTCCTTTCCATTTTCCAAAACAAAAGTTCACTGAAGTCTTTATGGAGCAAACAATTCCGTTGCACACCGGCACGCCCACTCAGACACGCCTGCTCGGACAAACCAGCTCAGAGTAGATAGTGAGAAAAGTCCATCTGTACAGACCGTGCGCTCCCAGGTTGAAGAGTCCTGGGGCCGCTCGCACCTCTATACATTCATTGAGGAAGTCGGGGCCCGCACCTGAGATGGACCGGGGGCCACGAGAGCACCGCTAGTCCCAGGAGAGGAAGAGAAGTCCCGAAAATCCACATATGTACAGCCCCCGCTCTGCCGGGCCTCCCCTCGCAGACAGAAGCGCGGACATTTCGGGTGGAGGATTTCCTGAATTTAAAATAAGCCACGCCCCCTCCCATGACCCCGCCCCCCTGCGCCCTAACATTAAAATAAATACGACACGACAGAATGAGATGGTTGTGTGTAAAACAGAACGATGCTACGATGAAACCGAGTGGAGAAGTGGTCGAGGGACCTTTGGGGCGCTGGTTGCATATTGTGTGGATCCCTGAACGTTGGGCGCCCGGGCGGTCTCAGCGGAGGCGGGCGGAGCGGCTGAATAAGGAAGTTAAAGCTGGGGGACGTAACATTAAAACCACCACAACCCAACCGTGTGATAAAATCCATCACTAGTTTTCCACATCATGTTTTTCATCAGCTCTCAGCCCAAACAGCCAAATAGGGATTAGGATGTTTTCTAATGAGATAAAGGCCGAAACAAAAGTTAGGTACCCCAGCTTTACTTGAGCTTTAATTCAGTAATATGTATGTAACCTTGTACAACAGTTCCTCATCAGGACCGGCTTCACATTTCTGATTTTAAAGATTGAAACTTTTGCGTTTAATTGTATTTATATCAGCCTGAACTAAACCACTCCACAGACCAGCAGGACCAGGACGAGGACCAGGACTGGTACCAGGGCCGAGACAAAGACTGGGACCAGAGTTGGGATGGGGGCCAGGACCAGGGCAGAGACCGCAGCCGGTCTGTGTGTGAGAATTAAAAAAAAAAACCCGGCTGTGTTTCTATTCAATTTGGATCCAAAACAACTCAATAACGCTCGCAGTCTCCAGCGTGTGATGTCACGACAGAACTTCCTGTAGTTTTTAACGTCAGTCTTCACACTCCCTGCTTCCTGATTGGTGCAAAAACCCGATTTACAAATTACGCACATTTTCAGTGAATGAATGAAGCCAAAACACGTGAAAATGAGAGGAAGGGGGGGGGAGAGTCGACCGTCCCGCTGGAGCTGAGGTAACCTGGTTGAAGGAGGTCTGTGGGTCTGTTTCGTCCCCGTATATTGTCGTAATGCTTTTGAGAATGGATCCCCAGCCCGAGTCTTATGTATGTACAGCAGCATTACAATAATAGACATTCAGAAGCTGTTATTGGCAGAAGATAGTCTGGGGGAGAAAGAGGATTGAAGGGGTGAGAGAGGGAGGGAGGGGGCACACAGAAAAAACAGCAACGTGTGAAGTGTCTGTACACGGCGAGTCCAGAGAAAACGTCTCGTTCGTTTGTCAAAGAGTCCGGGTGGAGCGCGGCGGCGGAAGGGGGATTCCTGAAGAAGCGGCCAGCACTCGGAGAAGACATGAACCACAACCAGCCATCCAGGGCGGGTCTGTGTGCGTATGTGTGTGTCTCTGTATGTCTGTGTGAGTATGTGCGGTAGCTCCATCATAAACTGGACTCCTTGGGGGGCAGGTCCACGTTGGTAACCATGGTGACGACAGTGATCTCCTCGGGGCCGATGAGGGGGACCTGCCGCTGCATCTGCCCCACGCGCTCCTCCACGCAGCCGGCCGACAGCCGCGCCTCGGCCTCGTGGTCCCAGCAGTCCTCCACCGTCTCACAAAGCATGGCCAGGCCCTGAGGAGGGAGGCAGGCGGGTCAGGGCATGCTAATGCTAATACAGGACACGACACACTAACGCTATGCTAGTTATGATGCTAATGCTATCATCTGCTAGAGCTACAACCCACATTGCTATGATGTCAACATTGTTAGCAGCAGTAGTAATAGTAGTAGCAGTAGTATCGGTGGCAGTAACAGTAGCTGAAGTAGTAGTAGCAGTAATAGTAGCAGTAGTTCCTGAGTGGGTAAAGTACCGCATGTTTCTGCCAGCAGTCGCGCAGACAGGGCCTCAGCTTCTTGTGCACCACCACCTCCTGCATGTCCTCCAGAGACGGATGCTGCCCCACTTCCTCCTCAAAGGGAAGCATGTACTCGTCTACCGGACCTACACACACACATACACACACACACACACACAAACGCACACACGTTAGATGACACGATATTGAACTGATGATGTCGGCAGGAGAAGCCCGACATAACCACTCGCCTCGTCCCATCTTGCACACAAAAAGACGTCTGAAATATGTTTAGACAACTATGTGACTGTAGTCTCACGGCGGTCACATGATCTCTGTGTTTGGACTTTCTCTCCTTCTCATTGGACGCTTCTTTGTACCATATTTCTACGCTTGTGTCTCACCGTCCGCCGCCGTGCAGCGCGCCGCCAGCTCCCACAGCACCAGGCCGAAGGCGTACATGTCGATCCTCAGGAACGAGTCCCGCTGGAAGTTTATGGCCCCTTCAAGCACCTCAGGGGCCATGTACCGCCGGGTGCCCACCTGAAGGGAGAGGGGGGACGGGAGAGAAGCACTGAAAATTCCACACACATCTAGAAAATATTCTGTATGAAAATGAAGAGAAGTATGGAGTCATGGACAGAAGTGTGTGTGTGCGTGCGTGCGTGTGTGTGTTTGGGAATGTGTGTGTGTTACCTGTCCATGTGTGTCTCCGGCAGACTTCCCCGCCTCAAACTTAAGTGCGAGGCCGAAGTCAGCGATGCAGGCCGTCAGGTTGTTCTTCAGCAGCACGTTCTTGCTCTTGATGTCCCTGAGACACACAAGAGCTACAGCTTCAGTCCTGGGTCTACGCCTCAGTCCTGGGTCTGCAACCTCAGTCCTGGGTCTACAACCTCAGTCCTGGGTCCAAAGCCTCAGTCCTGGGTCTAAAACCTCAGTCCTGGGTCTACAGCCTCAGTCCTGGGTCTACAGCCTCAGTCCTGGGTCTACAGCCTCAGTCCTGGGTCTACAGCCTCAGTCCTGAGTCTACAGCTTCAGTCCTGGGTCTACAGCCTCAGTCCTGGGTCTACAGCCTCAGTCCTGGGTCTACAGCCTCAGTCCTGGGTCTACAGCCTCAGTCCTGAGTCTACAGCTTCAGTCCTGGGTCTACAGTCAACCATCACATTTCTTAACATTTCCCTCTGGACCAATGGCTCCTGTGTTTGTTATTTCTTGTGTTGGAACAGTTTGATTCTCTGGTCCGTGCTTGGATCCACTTGGTTTCCTCTCACCTGTGTGCGATGGAGGGCTTGTGGCCGTCTCGGTGTCCCGGGATATCCTCGTGCAGATAGGCCAGACCCCGCGCCGCCGTTTGGGAGATGTGGCACAGCTCGGACCACGACACCACGTTGGCCTTCAGGTAGTCCGTCAAAGAGCCCTGAGGACACACGGACACAGCGGAGTCAGCAAACACACAGACTCCAGTTTCCACGTCTCGAAAGATCTGGGTTTTTGTCTCATGAGCAAACTGCAGAATCAAACATGTGGCCAGCGTCGGGCAGCCCTCGCATCAAAGTCTCCATCGTTTACAGAAATAGCGGCGGTTTGGGTGCTGGTGTGTGCGTGTTGCGTCAGGCTCTTACATAAAACATGCACAGAGGAAAAAGGAGGTCAGTTACAGTATGTAGGACACCAGCAGAGGCAGGGCTCGGCCACCAGAGGGCGCCACATAACTACAGGCGAACATGGAGCAGGATGTATAAACACACACACAGACAAAAATGCAGAAAGCTCATTTTTAACACTAAACAGAGACAAAGATGGAGGACACACTGCCACACAGCTACATACATTAGAACAGGCGTGTCAAACTCAGGCCCAGGGGCCAAATCCGGCCTGCGGCATCTTTTTAGTGGCCCCTAAAATAATTGTTAATTATCTTTATCACAGTAACTTGCAGCATTGGTGTTATTGTCTACTATGGCATGTTGTACTTCATTTTAAAGCCTATTATTGCAGAAACAGCCATGCAATCAAATCTGTTCTAAAGGGTTACCGGAAATGTAATCAGAAGATATTTCTATTTCTATATTTATCAGATTTCACATCTTTTTTGCCCCGCTCTCTCATTTTGGGCCCAGTTGTGGTTGAATCCAAACCTACTAGAAAATAATATCCACATTTGTGTTCAATACAGTTACATTGTTTATTTAAAAAGACAAAAAATTATAAAGGTAAATACTTTTTTGCTTCTGGCCCCAACAAACTCTTATGTTTTTAAATTTGGCCCCCGACTACATTGTTTGACCCCCCCTGCATTTGAAGAAGGCCCTGTCTTATTGTGCTGGTAGTGACTTTGGACCTAACCCTCCTTTAAAATTTTCTTTACGCAGATGTGTGAAAGCAAAGTCGAAGGCGTCTCTTTCACTGATACATATTTAACAGTTCACACGTCTGTGGCTAAAAAGAGCTTTTAGAATTCTGGGTTCTGTCCTGGACCTGAGTGTTTGTTTTTGGATTTATTCCACCGCTCAGGGATAAAACCATTCTGTCCAATTTCAGATTTTTTTCAAATGAGAGAGACTAGAAAGAGACCAGAGACTAGAAAGAGATTAAAGAGAAACTAGAGAGACCAAAGAGAGACCAGAGACTAAAGAGAGACCAGAGAGAGACCAGATAGAAGGAGACTAGAGAGAGAGAGACCAGAGACTAAAGAGAGACCAGAGAGAGACCAGATAGAAGGAGACTAGAGAGAGAGAGACCAGAGAGAGACAAGAGGAAGAACAGGGAAAGACCAGAGAGAGACCAGGGAAAGACCAGAGAGAGACCAGAGAGAGACCAGAGAGAGACCAGAAAGAGACTAGAGACCAGAGACCAGAGAAAGACCAGAGAGAGAGAGACAAAAGACCAGCGAGAGAGACCAGAGGAAGAACAGGGAAAGACCTTAGAGACCAGATAGTGAGACCAGCGAGAGACCAGCGAGAGACCAGAGGAAGAACAGGGAAGGACCTTAGAGACCAGAGAGTGAGACCAGCAAGAGACCAGAGAGAGACCAGAAGAGACCAGAGCGTGCGTTACCTTGTCGTGGTAGGTGGTGATGAGCCAGAGCTCCAGGTCCAGGTTGTGGTTTCTCTTCTCGACGCCGATGAAGTGCAGCAGGTTGTCGTGCTTCATGCCGCTGAGGCTGTAGATCTCGTACTCGTTCTGCCACGACAGCTTGTCCTGCGGCGGCGGAAACGGTGACGGTCAGTGTCAGTTTAGGACTTGCATCAAAATGTTAGGGCAAGTTTAAACTGGGCCTTTGGAAGATTTTTCTTTAAAGTCCTGCGTCTGTGGTTTATTTGGCTTCAACTACGTTGTCCAAAAAGATGCTAACACCTGGACGGGGCTAATACCTGGATGGGGCTAACACCTGGATGGGGCTAACACCAGAATGGGGCTAACACCTGAATGGGGCTAACACCTGGATGGGGGTTATACCGGGATGGGGCTAATACCTGGATGGGGAAGATCTTGACGGCCACGAAGTCGTTGAGCAGCTGGGCCTTCCACACGCAGCCGAATCGCCCGCGGGCCTTCACCTCGATGAGCTGCAGCGGCTTCTGTCCCAGTGTGGGGGAGGGCGGGGCCGGGCCGGGGTCCTGGGGGAGGGGGGACACAGGAGAAGAGCAGAGGTCAACCAAGAGGTCTGTGGGGAGCGGCCCGTGGAGAGACATGCAAGAACAACGCTCCCTGTGCACGGTCAAACACTGATAAAGGTTCTTTCTGTCGATCGGGTCGTTTGTGATGATGCGACTCGTAAAAGGTGATGATATGCGTGTCCGAGATATAGCAATACCAATAATAAAACACACATTGGCTGTGAAGAAGATGTGCCAAGTCTGGGATCGCGTCTTTAATTCAGACAGAAGACATGTTTTATTGTCGATGGTAGAGACAGCACGAACAAAGCACACGATCACAGATACAATAGAATGCAAGTGTATTATACAGAGCGGAGGCATGGAGACCTCCAATCAGCAGCTGCCACGGTGTGCTTGTAGCTTGGCCTTCAGATAGACAAAACAAGCGAAAAGTACTGGCTTCTGCACATTGATAGAATGATGAGTTTAACTTTAACAAAAGTTGCTTCAAAGTGTTATGAAATCTCACAGCTGCATAGAGGACGCAGGGTTTAAAAACTTAATATGCCGTTATATTCCAGCGAGTATAGTAACTCAGGAGCAAAATACACGAAGCTGTTGGCGTATACACACGTGGTGCATAAGAAGCACAATAAAACAAACAGTTGCACACACAAAGATCTGTGGAGCAGGGAAACGTGAACACGTTTTAGCGAGGGACCGGTGTATTTTAATTTAGGCTAGTTTTAAGTTTGTGCAGGAGACATTTCAGAGATTTAGCTTTTGTCTTTTTTACTATGATTTTAGAAAACTAACCTCAACCCCCTGAACTTGATTTTAAAAAGGTTAAACATGAACTAAAGCCGTTACATGAACACGGTTAAGTTAACCGCTAAATGTGAGACGCTCGAAATGTAATACTTTTGTTGCATCATTTACTGCGTGAAATGAGGAACTGTCAAATTGACTGCTCTTAAGGCTTTTCAGGTCCACAAGGCTGAAAACCATAAGAAATCCCTGAGATAAGAGACGCATGGACTCGATACTGGATGCACGGGGCATCAGCGGCAGTGGGAGGGGTGTGTGTGTGTGTGTTGGAGTGTGTGCGTGTCAAGGTGTTCATGTGTGTGTGGGCATGTTGGATGTGTGTGAGAGTGTTAGGGTGTTCATGTGTGTGTATGTGTGTTCGCCTGCTTCAGTGTGTGAGCGTGTGTTGTGTTGGATGTGCATGTGTGTGTGTGTCCGTGTTAATGTATGTGTGTTCGCCTGCTTCAGTGTGTGTGCGTGTGTTGTGTTGGATGTGCGTGTGTGTGTGGGCATGTGTTGGATGCGTGAGTGTGTGCGTATCAGGGTGTTCATGTGTGTGTATGTGGGTGAGAGCGTGTTGGCAAGCGCGAGAGTGCATGTATGTGCCTGTGTCAGTGTGTGTGTGCCTATGTTGTGTTGGATGTGTGTGCAAAGTGTGAGAGTGCGTGAGTGTGTGTGTATTTTAACGCGTGTGTGTGTTTTTGTGTGTAAGTGCGTGTGTGTGTGTGTGTGTGGTGGAAGTAGGTTAAACCCAGCTGTGCAGCAGGATTACAACGATCGGTTTTCAACTCACATGAGAAGAGAGAGATGGGGGAAAGCGGGGGGAGGGGGGACGTTTTCCCGTTAGAACATCTCTTGCCTCAACCGTCCGGTCGAACTCACGTCACAAAAAGAGGAACTATACCCAGACTGTATGACTGTCACCAAGAACTACTGGAAAACACTGAGAAAACGCGTATTTCTCTTTGGTCACAGTCGTTAAAGATATTGGGAGTTTCTTTCAATGGCGGCTGAATTCATAACTGTAAAAACTCAAAAGGAAAAAAAAAACGTCATAAAATTCATCCAACTAGTGTCTGTATGTGTATTCGGGCTTCTGTCACTTCTTCAAATCAGCTTCTAGACAGACGTACAGAGCGTATATGAGGAGTGGACTGAGTGTGACATCACCATAGCGTTTGCCTTAATGCAGAATATGCTGAACACAAGCTAGCTGGAGTCAATTTCCTTCAATATGAGCATTTGCCCCCGCGGCAGGGGTAGACGTGGAGATTCCCCCGTGAATGAAGGCCTCAGATTGGTCAGTCCTTGCATGACTCACATCTGGATGACACTACCACAAAATAAACACCAGGATCACAGAGAGCACTAAACTACAGATTCAAGCCCAAAGCGGAGGGAGTGACACAAACTGTTACTGAGCTGGAGGAGTTTAGTTTTACATGCGAGTTAAAAGGAGCCAGAGAGTTGGAGCTAAACTTCGCCATGAGCACTTCCCAATTGACCATCTCTCAGCCCAAAGGGTCAAACAGTGACTCACTTGACAAGATTTCTGATCCTTTGCAGACTAGTGGCTTAACGTAGAATACATAGAGTACAAGGGACTGGCCTCCTGCTGGACCCAGAGTCAGGACAAAACATGGGGAGGCTGCATTTCAGATTCATGCTGCTAAAATCTGGAACAATCTTTCCTAAAGTGTGAGACAGGCCTCTTCTCTGACAATGTTCAAATCCAGGTAAAAACAGTCCTGTTTAGCTGTGAATACAACTTTATATTTTTAATCTTTCTTTTTCATGTACTGTGATTATTAAGGGATTTAATGCCTTGTGTTACTGTTTCTATCTTGTTTTGTTCAGCACTTTGAGTCACCGTGAGTGTGAATTGTGCTATACAAATAAACATGCCTTGACTTGCCTTGTAGTGGAACACAAAGAGAGGACCGCAACAACACATAATGAGCCGTAGAACTGTCATAAAAGCGGAGAGTGGAGCGTTCTTCTGAAGGGGAGGCTCGGGCTGTGACACCGCAGCTGTGTACAGGTCAGAGTGACACTGAGCCATGTGTCATTGTTTTTGTTCCAAGACTATTTTTAAAAACGCTCATGAATGTAGTAGCAGTGACACTTATGTAACTGCACCACTTTAAGCTATTTTTATTTATTCATTCCGTGTTGGCAGGGTTTGTGGTGCGTTCAAAGAGGATGTAAGAGAGACTGAACACAAAAACAGCCTCGTTCCTGGGTCTACAGCCTCAGTCCTGGGTCTACAGCCTCAGTCCTGGGTCTACAGCCTCAGTCCTGGGTCTACAGCCTCAGTCCTGGGTCTACAGCCTCAGTCCTGGGTCTACAGCCTCAGTCTTGGGTCTACAGCCTCAGTCTTGGGTCTGCAACCTCAGTCCTGGGTCTACAGCCTCAGTCCTGGGTCTACAGCCTCAGTCCTGGGTCTACAGCCTCAGTCTTGGGTCTACAGCCTCAGTCTTGGGTCTACAGCCTCAGTCTTGGGTCTACAGCCTCAGTCTTGGGTCTACAGCCTCAGTCCTGGGTCTACAGTCCTGGCACTGAGGCTTAATAAGAATTTTAATTTCAAGTATATTTGTTTTGTGTTGAATGGCATTACAGACATAACATAAACAACAGTACTTAAAACAAAGAACTCAGACTTGTAAATGTAACCAGTGGCTCGTGCCGGTCTCAGTCCTGAAGCTGGTCCGTGGTGGGGCCGTCCCGGGGGAGACACTGGATATTTGCCCCATGGTGGGAGAGCGTTTGGACAAAGGGGGGAGAGGGAGAGGGAGAGGCCTGTATTACCCCTGAGTCAGCACGCCGCAGGAAACAGGATCTCCACCGCCGCCGTGTCGCGTTACAGTGTCTTGGGACGCCGCAGATCGCCCGCTATTTTGATCGCTGTTTGTTTTTCACTCAAACCGTTTCAAAGTCACAGACAGAGCGAAGGATCTGCCCGTGCTTCTGAGTAATAAACCACAGCATAAATGATATTTGGCTTCAAAGTTTTCAACCCCTGGACTAGAAGCCTTCGGGCCCTGCGGTCTTTACAGCGATGAGCCCCTTCCATGTATTTTAATTTGTTACCGCACAGCTGGACACAGCTTCATCAGCTATTTCCAAGTGTTTTTTCTTGCTGATGCAAAAGAGTCTGAAGACATTTGTTAACATTTCTGTACAGAGTTCCTCCCGCTCTCTATGGACCATCCATCTATTCTCTTCCTCTGTATCTGTTTCTCGGGTCGCGGTGACAGCAGTCTAAGCAGAGACGCCCAGACTTCCCTATCCACAAACACCTTCTCCAACACATCCAGGAATATCCTGAGGCGTTCCCGGGCCAGCTGAAAGACAAAGTCCCTCCAACGTGCCCTGGGTTTTCCCAGGGGGCTCCTCTTTGTGGGCCATGCCCGGACCACTTCCGCAAGGAGGCGTCCCAAACAAATGCCCTGAGCCACCTCAACCCTATGGACCAATGGCTCCTAAGTGTTAGTAATTTTTGAGACGACCGCTGTTGTGGTTAAGGGCAAGACACAAAAGGCTTTGGTGCGTTTATGTGAATAACAGAGACTCTGGTAAGAGCGGGAAATACACAGGACGTGTTTATGTGAACAGGGCTGATCTTAGATCAGATTATAGACTTTTTATTATGACCTTTAATAGAAATAGTAGAATTGGTAGACAGCCGGCAAGAAAATGTAGAGAAAACCCTAAATCAAAAGATAAATGAGATCCCTCTGTCTGCATCGCTACAATCACCACTGGTTTGGACTGGAGTCCGGTTCCTGGAATGCATGTGACCGTATCATGTGTGGCATTGATTTGTGACAGCGCAGCTCCACATTTAGTCAAGTGAAATGTAAAACCTACTGCAGGCTTTTTATTGTCATTCAGGCCATTTTACATTATATCAATAGTGGCACACGATATCCCTGCCGCTGTTTATGAAGGGGTGTGTTTTCTCTAACGGCTTTGGTTTCCTCCTTCTGGAAATGACTCTTTTGGACCTTTAAGGACTTTAAAAGAAGAATTAATATGCATTATTCTTGGCTATTAAAAATGTTCATGAGACTATTATGTCATTTCATGCTTTAGATTGTGAAATTACACCTCTAGTAGAAAAAATATAGCATAACGGGACTAAGACAGACAGAAGGGGCAGAGCTAAATGTTTGTACCTGAAGTCTCTGATATTAGCGTGGATGCATCTAAAACAACTCCAGGTCTGTGACTGATGAGGATCACTATTGGAACATGGAGAACGTGGGTATGTGTGTGTCTGTTATGTGTATGTATGCGTGTGTGTCTGCCTTTATCTGTGTGTGTATGTGTGTGCGCGCGCGTGTGCCTTTATCTGTATCTGTGTGTGTTTTTGGGGAGGAACAGGCTCGGGATGCTGTGATGTTACAGACAGTACAGGCACCGTCAGATGTTTGGGTGGAGGAGGGGTGCTGGGGCAGGGTGGTGGGGCTGGGTCTGGGAGGTGGGTGCTGGGTCTGGGAGGTGGGTGCTGGGTCTGGGAGGTGGGTGCTGGGTCTAGGAGGTGGGTGCTGGGTCTGGGAGGTGGGTGCTGGGTCTGGGAGGTGGGTGCTGGGTCTAGGAGGTGGGTGCTGGGTCTGGGAGGTGGGTGCTGGGTCTGGGAGGTGGGTGCTGGGTCTGGGAGGTGGGTGCTGGGTCTGGGAGGTGGGTGCTGGGTCTGGGAGGTGGGTGCTGGGTCTGGGAGGTGGGTGCTGGGTCTAGGAGGTGGGTGCTGGGTCTGGGAGGTGGGTGCTGGGTCTGGGAGGTGGGTGCTGGGTCTAGGAGGTGGGTGCTGGGTCTGGGAGGTGGGTGCTGGGTCTGGGAGGTGGGTGCTGGGTCTGGGAGGTGGGTGCTGGGTCTGGGAGGTGGGTGCTGGGTCTGGGAGGTGGGTGCTGGGGGGAGTTGTTTTCTCATGCAGAGGACATAACAGATCCATCCATGCAAATATGGAACAGAACAGAAGCACTTAGACCAGAGAGGGCTGTAGTGAAGAACCTTACCTCCACCATTATGTGAAAGGCGTGCTTGAGAAGACACAGGAAGTAGAGACGTTACCAGAGTCTGTCCCTTTGTTACAATATATATACTTTATATCCTATATTAGGGTCCAGTTCTCCATCAGGGAAACATACAATTTCAGCCGATTTTTTCCCATAATTGACAACTGTTTCTTTCACCAATTAATCGTTAATTGCTCCTTATACAATCTTGAAAACATGAAAATGCCGGAGAAATGATCAAATACAAACATTGAATGGGAACTGTGTCAACGTCAGTGCTCTAAACAACTGATTAGTGAAGCAGCAGGCGCTAGATGATTATTTTATAACAATAAATGTTAGTGGCAGCTCCAGTTCATTCATTCCCATATGTAACAGACAAAGAAAAACACGCGGTTGGGGCAAATGTAGGACAATGCAGTATAATAGAGGTTAAATGTATGTACAGTACAGAGCAAAAGTTTAGACACACTTTCTCATTCAAAGAGTTTCCTTTTGTTTCATGACTATTGACTGTAGATCCACACCAGGCTGTGTAAGGGCTGTTTGACCAATAAGGAGGGTGATGGTGCTGGGCCATATGACCTCCACAGTCACCGGACCTGAACCCAATGAATCCAGATGGTTTTGGGGCTGGACCACAGAGTGAAGGCGAAAGGGCCAACAAGTGCTAAGCATCTCTAGGAACTTCAAGACTGAAGAAGACCATTTCAGGTCCTCTTGAAGCTAATCAAGAGAATGTCATAGAGTGAAGCAGTAATCAAAGCAAAAGATGCTACTTTGAAGAACCCAGACATATTCTCAGTTGTTTCATACTATTTTTTTTGTACGTACATAATTCCCAGTTTTGAGGCCTTCATGATTATGAAAATTGTAGATTCACACTGAAAATAAAAAACTCTTTGAATAAGAAGGTGTGTCCAAACTTTTGGTCTGTACTGTATATATATATATTTATATTTATACTTATACTGGGACAGTATTAGTGTATGAATGTACAGTGCATTAGGGCTGGGTTAGCCCTTAGCACCCCTCTAATGTCACCTTTTGAGGATATGTCCACACAATAACTAAAGGACATCACATACAAACCTATGCTTTCTTTCACAGAGCCCTGTTCACTGCACATCAGTGTGGACGGGAGAAAAGACAGTTGTGATGCTACCCCCAGGTCTCTGTAGACTCACAGTGTGTCGTCTGCAGCTGTACTTACATGAGTGGGCACCAGAGCGGCAGGATAGGCCAGCTTGTGATGCCTCCACATCCAGAAGGAGAAGAGGACCACGGCCGCCAGCCCCACGATGGGTACCAGCGAGTAGAGCAGCGTGCTGAAGATGGGTGGCTTTGGCGGGAACGGGTTGGACGTCGCTGCGGAGAGAGAGGTGTCGTGTAAGAACCATAGACTGTATACAAGTGGACAATGATAACTAAACACTAAACACACTAGCCATTGCTAGTAAATATCTATTTGACCAATCAGAGAGCTGGTGATCAGAGAGTCAGGAGCGAGCAGAGGTTGTGGCACAAAAGTCTGGATTAATACAAAACAAAAGAAACAAAGTTGAGGATGAATATATCGGCCACCAAAATAAACTATAAACAGAACCTTTTCTTCTATTCTTACTTAACATTCAGATCAAAAGTATTAATTGTGGAAATACAATTGTTTGGTCATTATAAGAAACTTGTACATGCTATTCCTAAGAAAGTATAACCAGCTATTGAGTCAATAGAGAGAGACATAAATCCGTTATGATTTTTGACATTCTCTACAAAGCCCCTTCCCCAAGTTCATCGTGCAGAGTTGGCATTCAGAAAAAGATTTGACTTTTACATCAGGAGCTGAACACTTCTTCCGGCGCGGGAGATTACTGAAGCCTCTTGTGACATCATGTAATCCCAAACCAAAAATAAGTGAACTTTAAGTGACCCAGCCCATCCTCGGCCACCATCAGCGCAATGGCTGTTCCCCTCCCCCCACTGCCGTGGGGCAAACCAACCGGTAGTGGAGGAATATAGTAGAGGTGATTGTGTGAATACTATCACTACAAAACTACACTATAGAAAAACCCATTCGATATCAGCGTGAGGCTCAGTTTGAATATTTTGCATATAATTATACAATTCTGTTGGTTGAGGCGGCGTGTCCTTTTGACCGTGGTGGCCTTTGTCCAGGAATCAATGGCCTGATTTGTACACTATGTTCCAAAATGGTGGCATCCAATTCATTTACTGGAAAACCAGACCATGCCGGACTTTACCAGACTCAGCCGTACAAAAGTAAACATTTGTTTTTTCAACTAGAAAAGTGAGCTGCAAAATATCATAGATTCAGTGCTCTTTTTTTATCAAAGATTTTAGGGCCTTGCCTAGAATTCTATTTCAGTATTTCAGGCCATTTCATACAAGGGAGAGAAGAGATTTATGAAAGAGATGTGGAAAATTCAAATGTCCTGTGGTTTTCCCAGATCATCATTCGATAGTGATTACATTCACAGAGAGAGACCTGAGAGAGACCAGAGAGAGACCAGAGAAAGATTAGAGAAAGAGACCAGAAAGCCTAGAAAGACCATAGAGAGACCAGAGAGAGACACCACGGAGAGAGACCAGAGAGAGAGAAGAGAGGCCAGACACACTTAGAAAAACAAGAGAGACCAGAGAGGGGGATCAGAGAAAGAGATCAGAAACCCAAGAAAGACGAGAGACAGACCAAAGTAAGAGACGAGAGAGGCCTGAAACCCCTCGAAGGACACGATAGAGACCTGAGAGAGACCAGAGGGAGAGATCAGAGAGAGACCAGAGAGAGAGACGACGGAGAAAGACCAGAGAGAGACCAAAGAGAGAGAAGAGAGGCCAGAAACCCAGACCAGAGAGGGGGATCAGAGAAAGAGATCAAAAACCCTAGAAAGACGAGAGACAGACCAAAGAAAGAGACGAGAGAGGCCTGAAACCCCTCGAAGGAAACGAGAGACCCCTGAGAAAGGCCAGAGAAAGAAAGACCAGAAACCCTAGAAAGACATGAGAGAGACCACGGAGAGAGACCAGCAAGAGAAAAAAGAGAGAGACGACAGAGGCCAGAATCCCCTAGAAAGACAAGAGAGAGACTAGAGAGAGACCACAACCTCTTGAATAGGTGTTTACTGAGTGCATATAGTTGGATGGTGCTCACACTCACTGTAGGCGGTGGACTGGTGGGTCTGGCTCTGGGGCGGGCCGTCCGGAGCGTAGAGGAACTTCTCGTTGCACATGCTCCCCTCGCAGCAGCAGAAGTAGACGTCAGGGCTCTCCTTCTTCTCCACACACTCGGTGCTGAGGGCGACAGGAGGAGAACAGTGAGTGCAAAGGAGAGACGGGACTAAAATGCAGCGGCGGCGGTAATACGAGCGCCGAGATCTGAGGTGAACTCTGGATATGCGTGAGACACCTGGGACTGCTTCAGAGGCAGGGGCCAGAGAGACCAGAGAGAGAGAGAGATCAGAGAGACCAGGGAGAGAGAGACAAAAGAGAGAAAGACCAGAGCGACCAGGGAGAGAGAGACCTGAGAAAGACCAGAACAACCAGGTAGAGACACCAGAGAGAGAGAGATCAGAGAGACCAGAGACTAGAGAGAGACCCGAAAGAGAACAGAGAGAGACAGAGAGAGACCAGAGAAAGTCCAGAGAGAGACCAAAGAAACCATTGAGAGACCAAAGAGAGACTAGGGCAGGGACTCCAATCTGTGGCTTGGGAGCTACCAGTAGCTCGCCAACCTCTTCCAAGCAGTATCCCAAAGAATTTTGATCTTACATTTAATATTAAAATTCTTATGATTTATATGCCCACAGCAAAAATGTAATAAATCACTTTTCAATAAACTCCCCAGCTGTGTCTCATTCTAGTCTCTCCGGGTGAAAGAGGTTGGGGACCCCTGGACTAGAGTGCGTTAAGGCCTATGGGTAAAATCTCCAGTACAGCCCAAGTGGGATTAGGGAGGCCTCTAGTCCAAGTGGAGACGGGTTTTTATCACACATCTATGGGGTGACTCGAGCTGGTGGAATGAGTGGAGATCGTCAAAAACAGTTATTTTGATTAAATCGATGTCAACCCCAGCTCCAAACATCAGATTTGAGTCTGCGGTTACCTGTCGTAGCAGTTGACGTCGTCCAGCCAGCAGCCCTGCTTTACCACCTCCACGTTCCCCGACACGTTCTTCCAGGTGGCGAAGCAGTGCAGCCGCTTGTCCTTGTCGCCGTAGCAGGGCTCGATGCCGCTGCGGTTGGTGCGCTCCTTCTCCCAGCTCGAGTTATAGTAGGCACACTCCTGCGTCTCCGAGCGGCCCAGGATGGCTCCTGTGGGACGGACAGGCGCGTTAGCAACACGTTCAGAATCACAGAGACACGTAGTGATGGTCCAATCAGAATCAGCATTATTTTTAAGATTAAGAGATGAAGAGATCCTTAATTTGTCTAACAGTGGGGAAATTTCACTGTTGCATGACCAGTTACAGGAGCACACAACACAAGAGAATTGCTCAATAACTCTATACAAAATAAAATAAAATCTTTAACTCTAGCATGAAAAATAAAACTATTCTACTTTTAGCATAACAAGAAGCAAGTATAAACTACTAGCGCATAGTTGTATATAATGCCATTGTGAGTAACAGGAAGTCACAAACTAGGAAATTGATTTGGCTTTCGGCGCAACAAGTTATAAGAGTAAAAAATAGAATAATGCATGCATAAAAAAAAATACTAAATCTACATAACATTTAACATTACTACAATATACAAGCACTCGCAAAAGGTCGCTTCTTGAACCATTCTAGGCTTTCGGATCAGCCTCTTCTGCATTAATGCTGCCACTATGGTGACGTCACGCCCAGTTCACTCCTGATATAAGCTCTAGGATTAGGGATGTAAAAAACTATGAATTTTCATGACCGACCACCGAGCCTCATTAACCGGTTGAAACCGGTTAACCGCGTAGTTTAAAATAGTCCACGTTCTTTCAAATAACAGCCATTTCGAGCCGCGTACTTTTCATAAGTGCAGCTCTGCGTTCTACTGGATCAGAGCCGAGACAGCGGCGCCCAAACCCGCAACAGCTCCGGCACCTTTGCGCACAGAGAACTGCTTTTTTAATCTTCCCATTCTGCTGTGCTGCGGGTTAATACCAAAACTTTCTAGCAGCAAACGACGGCTCGTTCACATGGTCAGAGCAGCGAGTGACGAGCCGCGTCTCACAGGTCTTCACAAAAGTTTAAATACAAGTGATGTGTGTGGAGCTGATCCCGAGGACCATAAACACAAACATGTTCCATGTGGTTTGACTGGAGCCGCGTATTTGCGCGAATCCTTTGGGCTCCGTGACACAAAGGAGCGCGACAGACCGGTATGTGTGTGTGTGTGTGTGTGTATGTGTATGTATGTGTGTGTGTATGTATATGTGTGTGTGTGTGTGTAAATGTAAGCTCCAATGTAGTTCTGACCCGCGCCAGTGTGCAACTTTGACGGTAACAGAGGGGAGAGATGATGCGTGTGGATGTTACGTATGGAGAGGGGGAAAGTGTGTGTGTGTGTGTGTGTGCGCGTGCACGTGTGTGCATATGTGGCTCGTGCGGCGTGAGAGTCGTCCCGGAGTTTATAATACATGGGCGCACACAGCTAGATACAGACCCGCTCGTCACACCGTGCAAATAGGGCTTAAAATAGCGTTATTAAGAGACCTCCCCTCTCCCCTTTTTCTCTTTTTTTAACCGACAGCTTTGACCGGTTAACGCTGTGACGGTCAACCACCGGTTAACCGGTCGCCGATTTACATCCCTATCTAGGATCCAAAATAACACATCTGCAGTATCATTCTTAACATGTACACCAGTGGGTTTAAGACGTGAAGCTGCACCCGCATCATCTTTGTGGCCTCAGGAACATGTGTTTTTTCTAATTTTGATTTCAGAGATGGTCCAACGGAGCAAGACAACTGCTCAATAATACCACCGTGCTTTTTATATCGACACAAATCCACAGATCAATGCCGAGTAGTTGTAATGGCCTAAGACTGGGTGAGCATCGCGCCTTATTTTTAGCTTAATTGCTCTTGGGTTTAAAAATACACATCTGATGCACACGACAAGGGGCAAACTGGGGACTGGGAGGAGAAAGAATGACATGAATGTGATAGAGATGTCCTCCTCGTCCTCTCTCTCCTCTCCCTCCACTTTGTCCTCTCTCTCCTCCCCATCCCCTCCCTCCGCTTTGTCCTCTCTCTTCTCCCTGTCCTGATTTTTTGGGGAATTTCTCAAAATGCTGTTGAACATGAGTACTAGCGTTAATAAGCAGCGATGACCATGTGCATCACTGACAATACATGATCCTGAATGATTCATACGCTCCCAATATGGCCGCCGACATGACACATATCCACAGCAGTGTTTGTTTTTTTGATGCAGCTAGAACAAGAAAACTATGATATAATATGTTTACATTCTCCTGATGATCCAATCAGAGCAGTCGGCTCCGAGTGTTCGGTAATGAGGCCTCACCACAAACCCCTGACTGCTCCGTGGCAAAAGTCTCCAAATCCGTCCATATAATTATTTTACATTGCAGTAAGATATGTGTGAGGACAGAGCTGACAGAACAGCTGCTCATTATGAGGGACAGGTGTGGGCCGTCCTGGAAACGGGGGTCCCCCTGAGGGACCATAGATCCTTCAACAATAACCAATGCAAAAATGCACATTTGAAATCCAAGACTGTGATCAGGAAATGGTGTGATGAGAGTCTACTTTTAAAAGAAGAGATCATTTGTAAAAAAGGACTTTTTTGATATTTTAACCATGTTAAATTCTGTCTCTCATCAGTCACAGACCTGGAGTTGTGTTGAGCTCCATTCATGCTAAAATCAGGAGCTTTCTGCACAAACATGTAGTTCCCCCTTGTGTCTCAAAGCTCTCAGTTCTGTAATGGTGTGATGTCAATGTATCCTGTATACTTGTCTCATATTTTCTACTGAAGATATAATTTCATATTCTATTCCCCAAGAGCAACAATAAAAATAGCTGACTGATGTCTTTCTCTTGCGTCCTGTCTAAACATCTGAGACACATGTTTTTTAAATAGAATCTGGGAATGGGAATTTAGACCAGTATCTTCCTCATATCCATGTAACTCAGACCACATGGCGGGTCTTTAGGCCTAAGGCCTGCAGGTGACCCATAACAAACTACAAAACAGGACATTTTTAAAAGTCTCTAATTAATAACTTCCAAATCAAACATTTCAGAGAAACTGTATATTAATACTCTGCCCGAGTCTGAACTCTGCCCCAAACCACATTCCTCCACAGACATTAGGGCAGCTTTTATGCAAAGCGTAAAACTATCATCTCTCAGGGGCTCAGGTCCTAGGGCTCAGGTCCCAGGGTTCAGGTCCCAGGGCTCAGGTCCCAGGGCCCCGCGGGGGGAAAACGCAGACAGGAGTCTGGGGAATCTGGCGCCGAACGTCCCTGCGGTTGGCAGAGCTTCATTCATCAAAAGGGAAGGTGTCTGTATTCACACAATCAGATCTCAAAGGTTCACTCTGCAGGCACCAACACGCTCCCAGTCGAGGAACGCTCACAACACGCCAGGAGGTTAGAGCCAGAGATGGGGACTCGAGTCCGACTTAAATTGCTAATTTTAGAGACTTGCGACTCGACTCGGACCCATCCCCTAAAGACTTGGACTTGACTCGGACTCGTTGTTCTTGGACTTGTGAACATTGCGAGTCCTGACGCTCCAGATCCATTAATTTCAAAGGCTGGTTAGTGTGCACGCTTTCTGGCTGTGAGCGCTCTATGGCCGTGATCGCGGGTCATCACTTTGTGCATCAGTTGTGTCTGAGCTGTGAGTCGCTCTGTCAACGCGGCAGCGCGAGGCCTTAACGTGGTCATAATGTTCCCAGGACCATTCTCTGCTTGTTGTGTGCGTGTCTTTATACACCTCTGCAATAAACAGAGCTGGATGAAAGAGCCTCCTGACGTTCCCATGTCTCCCCGTGTCTCCTCCTAAACTCGCTAAATTAAAACTGGGGTACGTACATTTCCCTCGCATTAACAGCTCATGTTGGTTGTGCCAACAGTAAAATGCTGTGAACAAAAAAACAGATTTAATGACAGCCATTGGCTGATTTCAGACTGTCCCTCATCTCTGTGACAAATAATAGTTTTGGTCTGTGCCCTCGCTGTAGTGACATGTTTGTTACTCTATTTTAATTGTTGAAACTGCACACATCCTCTACAGTATGTGCTTCTGCATAACGTATAAATAAGCGTTAAAAAAAATGTGACAACAAACCGGGCCGGGCCGTTGAGGAGGCAAAAATCCTGGGTTCGTTTTTTAGTCCCAGTCCAGCCCTGGCATGGCCTGGTATGGCCTGCAGGCTGAAATGTTTAAGGCTGGAAAAATGCGCTCTAAAAAAAACAGTACAATTAATTCATATATTTTAGTCCATTTTAAATTGTATTGGCCATAATTTTAATGCGTAGGAAATGAGACTTGGACTTGCGGGTCAGAGACTTGTGTGCATCTCTGGTTAGAGCTATGTACGAGGTCACAAGGCCTCCTGCAGGGACTCTGAGGAGCACAGGGACTGGCCTCCTGCTGGGACTCTGAGGAGCACAGGGACTGGCCTCCTGCTGGGACTCTGAGGAGCACAGGGACTGGCCTCCTGCTGGGACTCTGAGGAGCACAGGGACTGGCCTCCTGCTGGGACTCTGAGGAGCACAGGGACTGGCCTTCTGCTGTTCTCAGAGTCAGGACTAAACATCGGGAGGCAGCGTTTTAGATTCATGCAGCTAAAATCTGGAACTGTCTTCATGAAAATTTGAGAGGCTTCTTCTCTGACAACGGTCAAATCTATTTTTAAAAACAGTTCTGTTTCGTTACAACAAATGAAGAATTTGTATTTTCACTCTTTTTAATGCACTATTTTTTATTTTAATGTTTAAAGTTTCCCTGTCTGTAGGGGTTAGAGGCTCCAGTATCAACATAGATGGGCAACACCATGTTCTAGTTTGAACCAAAAATTAATGATTGCATAAATGTAACTTCTAACCAGAGTTGAACTGCATGTGTCTGTGAAAATAATAAACTTATGGTTTATTCTTCAATGGGGGGGTTCAAACAACTGTCCACGTTATACCCCGTTTCAGCTCTACTCAACCTGGTCTTAGTAACTTACCCACGACCAGTGTCCGGGGAAATTATTTGGTAACCATGGTTTCCTGCAGCACTATGGCCAATCACTGTCAGGAACACTTTGGTACCAGCTCGGCCTGGATAGAACCAGGACCAAGAGGGACACAAG